GGCACATGGTCCGGCCTTGGGTGGTACACACACTGACTCCATCGGGGAATAGCATGGAATTGCTCAGAAGAAAGGAAGGTAACCGTTGCAAGGCAAACAATCGACTCGGCAGAATCACCTTCCGCACGAAGAATTTGTCAAATGTACGGAGTACATACTTGGGCTTTTCCCTCCTATGCATGGGGGGTCGCAAGGTAAGTCGACAAACAGAACAAGGTCTTCGACCCAGATTGGAAGACACGCTGCAACGCGAAAAGTCAAATCCCATACACCAATGATGTCACAGTAATTCAACCCAAATTGTAATAAGAGGCAAGAATTCTCTGGCAGCTGACTCGTCCTCCGCCAATCTCAGAAGCCCAACTTAAGTAAAAAAGAACCCAAACAAGCAAAGGGGGTATAGTACATGTACAAAGTACGTGCTATACAAGAACAGCACCAAAAGAAAAGTCAATGACGGAAAAGTCAGCGTGCCAGCTCAATGCGAACCCAAGAAAATCCGGTCGCTGCTTTGCCACTCCGTAACGACCCGATAATATGCAACAAGAATAGAAGTCAGTGCAGCGTACGGTAGTCAATGTGCCAGCGGAGTCTTGAGTTCCATAAAATCTGTGCATCGGGGTTTGCACGTCAGTGACCAAGCAGCCTGCAACTCTGGGCCTTTATCTGCGCCACGTCTCATAGACTGTGTCCCTGCTTCGAGAGGTGCCTATCCCCGGATGATCCCTGTAGCGCATAGGTCGCCGTTCCTTTCTGATCTGTTCGCCTATGATAATGCTGATCAATCTTCTATGCAAGTCGGCCTCTGTCCAAGTAATCTGTCCTGTACCGCCGGCCCTGATGTCGTCACGAGAGACTTGCTGTGCGAACCTGTCGATGATCGCAAACTGATCCTCCGTGACTGGGACTCCAAAGACCCCGTCTGAAGTCCAGATCCAATCTCCAATAATGTCGGTCCGGCCAGGAGCCGGATAATAAGGGAAGCGCTCAGGGTGTTTCTTAGACAAGCGATAGAGGTTATGCAACAAACGGTAATGATCATTGGAAAAGTGCCCGGAGTAACGAGTTGGTTGCCGCTTGTGCCTCATCTCCCTCACTTCCTCGTAAAAAGGGTCCCGCGCATCGTCCAGTGATCCATAAGATCTGCGATCCGGAGAGACTTGTTGCTCATCTCCAGGCTCTGTAAAGTGAGACGATGGTCCTGGGATGCCTTCCAAGCGTTCCGACCCAAACTCATCACGAGCGTGTCTTGATTTTGTCGTGGTTACTGCTTCTTCCTCGTATACAACTGGGTTTTCCTCCCTTGGGGAAGCTGGCCGGAAAGACTTGGGCGCTTTGAGCCATCCAGGTGTCAGGCTAGTGATTTTTTGAAACCAGGATGATGCTTGGTTGTCCGGGCTGGCTCGTCGTGGAGGATCGGGGGTGTTGTCAGTTGCAGCTTGAAAGTATTGTCCCTCGGCTGCAGCGGCATCGGCAAGACTTTCAACATCGTCTCTTATGATTTCTCGTCCACTATTCTGCCTGGCCATCTCCAATCTAGTGGTGGGATCTATCTGAAACGTCCCTTCTTCCAAGTCACTGTGCGAGCTCAGCTCTATCGAGTGTTCTGACAGCCGATCATGTTCAGACGCATGTTCGTGGACACCTTGCCTGTAAGATGCTTGATTTGATGGCGAACCACCTTCAGACTGTGATTGGGTCGCATCACTCGAAGGACTACCTTCTCCATAGTAGTAACGGCGACGCTTCGGGGTAGGATCTCCTCGATACAAATTTGTGAGGTCAACGTTTTCCTCGCGCAACTGCTTGACCCGCGAACGACCGAGGAATGGCACTGTGTCCTGCTCCTTAGTCCAGTGAGCCGGAGAGTATAGTCGCCCCGTCTGACTGCGGGCCGGGGTCCAGCCAGTTTTCCATGGGCTCGACTCATGCTGTCTAGGGTGCAGGTCATTTTTATCATTGTCAAGCATAGACAAGCGATGTGATTGGTTGCCTTGTTCCATTGCCTCCTGCTGCCAGATGTCTTCATAACCCTCGTCGTCATCTTCCTCATTCGCTTGCTCTGTCTCTACGTACCCATCCTGGCTGGGTGCCTCTTCGGGTTCATTATCGAAGCCGTCATCATCGTTCCACTCTTCGTCTTGTTCGGCTGCAAGGTCTGGTTGGTCCGTCCTGTCGCTGTCGATGACAATGACTTGACTAGAATTCGCCATCTGAATTTCCCGACTGATGGCCTCCCTCTCACGTTGCCACTCCTCCATCCGTCGCCTCATGACGGAGCCGGGGGTATCGAAATCTGCCGCACTCAGCGCCGGCGGAGGTGACTTTGAAGAACTGGGTTCTCTGCTCCGTAATATAGTTCTCGCATTGGTCTTGGCGTCTGCGGCCAGCGACTGTTGGTATGTTTCTAGTTCCACTTGTCTCCGCTTCGCAAGTTGCTGTCCAAAGGCCAAGCCTGCCTGCAGAACTTGTTGGGACTGGGGGTTCAGATCCTGGAAAAGAAGTTGCAGGCGCTGTCGGTTTGCGGTTAGAGCGGAGTCAGAATACTGTAAGGTTCGCTGCTTCCCCTCCTTCAGTTCTGTAAGAGGGCCTTGTAAAGCAATACCGGCGCGTATAATGCGGACGAGTCTGAGTAATGGCCTCTGGCCTTCTTGGACAGGACGCAATGTCGGAACGGCAGAGGAAGAGCGGATGCTTCTTGTGGAGGCTGATCTACCACCTGATGCGTGTTGCATTGAGGTGTTAGATTCGACGGAGCGAGCGATGCGCGTGCGAGGGTGGTCTTCTACCTGTTGCTCCAGTGTTGGCTCTATCTCTGCGTGAGAGACACGCTTACTGCCGCCATGAGTTTCAGGGTCGAGTGATGTTCTCTGCCTGAGGACGCCGTTCGATTCTCGCTTCAGGAACGGCTTGAGAGCATTCTTGGCGATCTTCGAATTGCTATCGCCACCGAGGCCATGTTGCTTGGCTGATGGAAGAGTATCCAGGGAGACCATACTGAATCCTTCACTTTCCATAATCGAGTCGAACTCCTTATGCTCGTCCGTCGGATCGTTCCTGCCGTATGATGTACGGGTACGGCGACTGCCGCTAGGTGCTGCTGGTCGTTGGGACTGCGCCACTGTTTCCTCTCCTGCGACCGGCGAAGATGTCGTTGGGGTAGGGTATAGGCGCGGCGGTCTGGGTGTATGACCGGCATGCAACGTGCTTTTAGACGAGCTGGACTGCAGTTCCCGTACGGGAGACGGCATCTTAGACGGGGTGGAGTTCAAGTTGTATTCTTCGTTGTCTAGATGATCAACTTGTGGGGTATCGTATGTGGGCTCGAATGTCACCCGTGGAGTAGTGCTATCGTGATTGACCACCGCAGATTGCTCCGGTGAGAGTTCATCGTCGAAGATATCGATCATCTCTTCGTCCTGGGGGGATCCACCATCGTCCTCATCCGACCCTGCGTCCCCAGCAAGGTTCAGGGGGCTCCATCGCGATCGAGACTCAGCGGTCGGGGTATCCATATCGATGTCTAGTGTTCCTATATCCCGCTCGCGTCGTGCGACCGCATCCTCCTTCAGCGGGGTCTTCCTCGGTCGACCGCGTTTTCGCTTCTGCGCAGACCCGGGCGGACCTGGAGTATGACCGGGGCTTCCTGCGGCTGGTCTCGCATCGAGTAGGAGTGTATCGGACTTCCTTGGACGGCCTCTACGCCTCCGTGGTGTCTGCTCAGACTCATCCTTGAGTGGTATTTTTGTGACCATGGTCGATGGTCTAAGACGTTTTGGCGTGGGACTTCCGTAATCGTTGTTGTTCTCTTGGTCTTGCGTCGCTTCCAAAGTCACACGAATCCTCCACGGACTGACATTCCCGTCGGACTGGAGTTTATCGGGAGACAGAGCTTGCTGTTTTCGATTCAGTTTGAGGTTGGGCGAAGCGGGAAGAACGACATCGTTGAACTCGAAAGAATGGGCGCCAGGTGTGAGGTTGAGCCGCGACCGCTTCTGCCGTTTCGTCGTTCGCGGACTCTGGAGGAGGTTGAAGTCAGCTGGCGACATGAAGCTCTGACGACCAGTGAACGGTTTGAAGGGCGAGGAGATTAGATAATCACTATCGCCAGATGGCCCAAGAATGTCGGGAGAGGAGGAACTCGAGGTGCGAGAGGACATATCGGGTTATGAACGCAGCTCGCAGACCATGGGAGGGGCGACTCTCAAGTCCGCCCGTCGCGTCTCATGGAAAGAGAGGATACACCACCGTCGGGGCACTATCTGGCGGTCGACATTTCGTGGGGGAATCCAACAAACAAGAAGCCAAAGGTGTTTTCTCACAGTCCAGAGTAGACTCAATTGTAGATCTAAGGGCGGGGGAAGGGGGGAATTTGCATGCTTATCCACGCATAACATAAACAAGTCTCCCGATCAGGCAGGGCGGACTTTTGGAGGCCTGAGGAACTAGGCATTAGGTAAGCGGGCGGTAGGTTGTTCCTTTCCATCCTGATGCCTCAGGCTACCAATAGCTTCCAATGCATACGCATACGCCTCGACGGACGGGATAGCTCGCTACCTACCTATATTATAACCAGGTTTTTTTATTCGACTTGCTGGGAGAGATGCCACTCGCTTACAGGCTAGCTCAAGCCTCATACAACATCATGCCATGGCTTGACCAGTATACTGGTACTCGAGTACTACACTCACTGACCAGTGCCCAGCTCGGCAATCGGCACTGCACCGAAGCTTGTTACGGGGAGCAGACATGTGGCACTGGGCATAGTTAGTAACTACAGAGGAGGGAGGTGTATGTAAGCACCGCAAGCTTAGTTAGATGATCGACGGGACGCTTGCCATTTCCCCGCAAACCAATTCCCCCACCGGAATATGCCCGAACCGGACTAGTGCCTTCCACCACCAAGTGGCACTAACTCACCCCCGTGGCTTGGACCCCCTTTTTCTGTCCCTTAGGCTGATTTGCTCCATTCCCGTGGCTTCATCCTACACTAACTACTGTCACGATCCCTGCTCTCTAACTCTACCAATTCCTACTTTTCTCCTTCCGGTCTGATCTCATCATCGCTTGCATCTTCCTCTCCCGCTTCCCCCTCACTTTGCATCCCAGGTTTCCACATCATCTCTCGATCTGGAGCTAAGGTGGTCAGACGCGGACCAACTTTTCCCGTCACCCTTGCTCCCCATCCCCCAATCCCCCCAACCCCCCGGGCAACAGAGCTTGGGCTGGTGTAGCTTGATTAGCTCTCCACATACTTGGCATCTGTCCCCCTGACAGGTTGACTTTTACACCGTCCCCAATTTGCGGGTAAGATGACGATGGTCCCCCCGTCGGACAATTGACGACATGAGCTAACCATGAGCACCAGTAGCGGCATTTCTACCCCAGTTCCTGCGTGCTGCTGTCACCCCCGCCCCCTCCGCCGGCGGTCAGGCGCGCCATCATGAGGTAGAAGAGCCCTAATGTGGAGTAGTTAAATAGAACGATGGGACCTTCCTCTACAACCCGCCAGGGAATTCCCCAGCTGCTCGGTTGTTTCCGTTCCACCCTCTGCCCTGCCCGTATCACTCCCCGGCTTTTGTTCCTGTACTGCTGTCTGTGCCTTGTGGTCACCACTCTACTCGGAATCAGAATGCATCTCAAGAGCTACCTTTCCACCGCCCTCTATGGGCTGCCTGTACTGTCCCAGGCTGCAGTGGCAGTGACGATGACGACAGACCCATTCAAGGCCTACACCATCAGCGCAAAGAACATCAGTGCAACTCTGATCCCTTACGGTGCACGCTTGACATCGCTCAAAGTCCCAGACCGCAATGGCAATTTCCAGGATGTGGTTGTAGGCTACGATGATCCAAAGCGGTACCTTCAAGACACGGAGACCAACCGCACTTTCTTTGGGGCCGTTGTCGGTCGGTACGCCAACCGCATCAAGAACGGCACGTTCTCAATTGGTACCGAGGAATATCATATTCCTGAGAACGAGAATGGCGGCAAAGACACCCTCCACGGAGGCCCACTGGGTTATGATGGCCGCAACTGGACCGTCACCGCGTACTCCAACTCGTCCATCACCTTCACTCTGGTTGACCGTGCCTTTGAGGATTTTCCGGGTGATGTGATCACCCATGCCACGTTCAGTGTCCAGACCGAGGCCACCAACGAGAATCCAGAGGGCTTGCCCCAATTGACCACCAAACTAGTCGCTCTGGCTCTGACGGAAACCACCCCTATCATGCTTGCCAACCACATCTACTGGAATTTGAATGCGTTCAAGAACGAGACCATCCTCGACGACACCTGGCTGCAATTGCCTCTCTCCAAGCGCCTGATTGGCACCGACGGAATCCTTATTCCTGACGGCAGCATCCTCGACGTTAACACCGCCTACAATGGCTCTGCGGACTTCACTGCAGGCAAGCTGGTCGGTCAGGACATCGACGAGGCCGTTCACCTCTGCGGCTCCAACTGCACCGGGTACGACAACTGCTTCATTGTCGACCGCCCTACGCAGTACACCGCCTCCAACTCCATCGTACCCATCGTGCGCCTAAACTCCAGCACCACCGGCATCAGCCTGGAGGTCGCCACCAACCAGCAAGCCCTGCAGATCTACTCCTGCAACGGCCAGAACGGCACCATCCCCATCAAGGACTCCCAGATCAAGCTCAACAAGGAAGAGGGCATCGACGGCGCCGAGTACGTCAACAAGTACGGCTGTCTGGTAATCGAGACGGAGGGCTGGATCGACGGCATCAACAACCCGGAGTGGGGCCAGCTGTCGGATCAGATCTACTCGCCTGAGACCGGCCCGGCCGTCAACTATGCCACCTACCGATTCGGCACCGTCTAGGCTGCTGCTGCTGCTGCGGGGCCGGCGGAAACAAGTTTTGCTTGATTGCTTGAATGTTCTCTTTTTAGCGACGCAAAAAAGAACAATTTTTTCTCGAGGCATATTTCTATGACACTTGGTCTTACCTCCTTGGCTCTTGAAACTATCTTTTCGATGTAGAATCTCCGCAACCATGTACATAAAGTGATCTTAGGGACCATTAACTTAGGTCTAATCAGTGACCGTAGGTTGCAACACTCATCCTTAACCCCTCTAGCTCATCGACCTAATCTTCCCACTCAAAAGAAGATAATCCCCCTCTTCATTCATAGATTAAAGGAAGCGCTCAAGTCTAATCAACGGAGTACACAGCACTGTAAAAGGAAATGGGTATACAAACAACGCAGTCAATGCTAAGAAATTTAACGCAAACGAGGATCGACTGTAACCGATGAAGTCTACTACCCCCACCCCGCCAGCGTCCAACTCGACCGATCCCCGCCGCCTCCGGCCCTCAACCCCGACCGCCGATCGGGGACGTGGTGCCCGTGGGTCTCGAAGTCGCGAGTCGCCCCCGCAAGACCATGCTGGAGGTACTTCTCGCGCTCGATCTCCACCAGACCCCGGATCTTGAGGCTGGTGGTCAAGCTCGCCCCGGCCCAGGGGCCCAGCGATTCGACCTCGCGCAGCACCCCCTGTACGGACGGCGGGAGCGCGTCGCGGTCGCGGTCGCGATTGTTCCGCCGGATTTTCTGCTCGATGGGGTCTTCGAGATCCTCTTCGTCCGAGGTTTTGGGTGGGTCTTCGGGGATTTGCTGCTGCTGCTGTTGTTGTTGCTTGGGGGTGTCTGCGGCTGAGTCTGGCTTTGGTTCTGGTTGGTGGGTTGATGGTTCGGGGGACTTCGTCTCCGTGGGTGTATCGTTCGACGGGACGGGGTGGTGTTCCTCGCTGGGGTCCGTTGTCAGAGGAGGTGCCGGGTTTTGAGAGGAGGCTTGGACTTGAGACGAAGGGGAGATTCGGAGGTTAGCGAGCTTGCGTCGTTGTTGAATGACTTTGCCGCGGACGGGCGACCAGCCGTGTTCGGCGACAAGGGCTGCAACGTCCGCCAGGATTCGTTGACGGATGCCGGGGATGTTGGCGCCGCCGCCGGTGAAGATGATGCGTGACATGCAGGTTCCGCGGGCGTCGGGCGGCAGGGTAAGTAGGGCATTATAGATCAGGAGCGGGAGAGGCTTTTCTTCGTCGTCGAGCTCGCAGTCTGCTGTACCAGCAGCAAAGAGGACGGTTTCGACGGGTTCGCTGAAGGTGGAGAAGGGGAGGTTGATGTAGGTAGATCCTGGGTTCGAGGGGGACGGGATCTCCACTGTCCGTTGCAAGAGGGAGGAGAGAGGGGGGTGTTGTGTGGTGGGCTCGGTTTCGCTGTCGTTGGGTTGTGGTTCCTGCTGCTGCTGCTGCTGCTGCTGCTGCTGCAAATCTGCTGATGAGGGACTCTCCCGGGGCCTGCACCATAGAAATCTGCTGGCGACTTCTTCGCAGAACTCGAAGCGGACCGATATTCCACTGTCGCCCGGTGCAGATTGCGAGACAACACCTCGCCGCGCCGTTGGGATACTTGTGAGCATTCGACCCGTCTCCTGCAGCAGGGCTTTCATAGCCCGTGTGCTCCGCTTGATTGCGATCTCGCGATACTCATACACCCCCGTGACCACCGTCTCCGCCCAGCCGATATCTACCACCAAGGCGGAGCGCACCCCGGCCGCTGTCGCCGCCATCGTAGCACTAGTCAACAACGTGATGCTCGGGAACCGCCACCGACTGAAAAGTGTCGACAGCATGGCCGACAGCAACGGATGCGGCATGATGGCGGGGAGAACCAGCACCAGTCGCGACGTGCCCGCGTCCGTCAACAGGTATTTATTGTAGGTCTCTCGAAACACCCGCTCAATCTTGTCCTCCACGAGGCCCAGGTCGGCCCCCCGAAGGTCCATCTTCCAGAGCTCGTAGGCGCTCGCCCAGTCTTCCGGGTTGACAAGCGGGCGCGACTGTGCCGGGTCGGTATCTGGGTTGTTCGTCTTCAACCAGCCGCGGTAGTCGCCCACGCGGCGGCATTCTTCGGGGCCGCAGCCTATCACACACATCGGGGCGCTTTCACCCTCAAAGCCAGCCCGAAGCCAGCGGGCGCCAAGCTCAAAGATGATGGCATCTTCTTCGCCGCGGAAGGAAGTGCTCGACGTGGTGCTGGCGAAGGAGGAGTTGTTGGATCGCAGGTGATGTTGCGGGGTGTGGGGGGAGGATGGAGTCCCGCGCAGACTGCTCATGGAAAAGGGACGCTTGTTGTCATCGTACCCAGAATTGGTGAATGATGTGCTAGCCATGTTTAGAGTGGTCTTTGAGACTCCTTAGGGGGGAATCTGGGCGTCGTTCGGTACTGTCGTTCTTGTTGTAAGTCACTGGCTTCTTTCCTCAAATTCACAGCGCGGGGAAGGTTCGGAGTTCCGAGGGTCACACGCAGCGATCATGCTTCCCTTTGCTGCGATACGTTCAACTTGGAAGACCTCTTGGCAGTCAGCCAGCCGTGAATCAATCCCTCTGGGCCAATTGAGCAAATTGGCCGAGTCAAAATGCGACAGCGAAAGCAGCGAGGCGATTGATTGAGCGGGCAGCAACAAGCGCATGAATCTCCAAAGGCGGGCGGATCTACATCGGGCCGCGCCAATCGCCCAGTTGTCGCTGGCCGTCAAAACAACAACACATCTATCTCCGTTCGGTCGGCCTCTCTTCTCTCTTACCCTTTTTTGATTTACTGTTCTTTCTGGGTGGCTTTTTGGAGTGCCGCCTGTGGTAGGTTGGGCTATCCTTTTGGTCGCACACAGCTCTGGAATCGAGAGCGCAGTCGGAATGGGGATCCCAGGGTGAGTGAAACCAGAAAACTTCCCCCCCTCCCCCCCCCCGTCTTTTCTCCGTGCTCCCGATTCCCCCTCGAGGAAGGACAAACAAATCTATCTCCGTTATTCCCCGTCTGCACGTGAGCGCACGAGAGAAATAGACATGTCAACCACCAACTCCTCCCAGTCCCCCTTTGCTAATTTTAAGCAACACTAAAGCCTTATTCAAGCGATTGGTACTGGAGAGCGAATTTCTTTGTCCAAGTTGGCGATAGGACATTTGGAACGCAATGCAAGACCCATTCGTGTCGCAGTGGACATCTCCATCTGGCTCTTCCAGGTGCAAGCCGGTCGGGGCGGCCGAAACCCCGAATTGCGCACTTTATTCTACCGGCTACTGAAAATCCTGGCATTGCCCATCCATCCGCTCTTTGTGTATGATGGCCAGCATAAGCCACCTTTCAAACGAGGTCGCGCGGTGGCCGCGCGCAGTTACGGGAGTGCGCCGATCATTCGGCTGTCGAAGATCATGGTGGATTTGTTCCGGTTTCCACGCCACGATGCGCCCGGAGAGGCTGAAGCTGAGTGCGCGAGGCTGCAAAAAGTCGGAGTGGTTGATGCCGTTATGAGCAACGACGTTGATGCTCTGATGTTTGGTTCAACGTTTACAGTAATGAATTTCTCGAAAGAGAGCGGTACGGGTAATGCGGCGGCGACCCATGTCACATGCTATCGCATGGACAGCGCTGCGTACCCTTCTAATATGTTGATCAACTCGCCTTCGAATGCGATGCTGGATCGTGCAGGCATGATCTTGTTTGCAATGCTAAGCGGTGGTGATTACCTTCCCTCTGGTGTTCCGAAATGTGGCAGCAAACTGGCCGGCGAAATTGCCAGAGCGGGCTTCGGAGAAGATTTGTTGGAGATCATCGACTCCAATGGTCCCGACATGGAGGAACGGCTGAGCGAATGGAGAGAAAGACTTCAATATGAGCTCGAGGAGAACGAAAGCGGCTACTTCCAGACCAAGCACAAGGTTGTCCGAGTGCCGGAGACATTCCCGGACAAAACTATTCTATCATATTATGCCAAGCCCGTGGTGTCGACAAAGAGTGAGATCGATGTTTTACGGCACCGCTTGAGGAATGCATGGGACCAAGAGATTGACGCGGTGCAGCTGAGAAGGTTCACCGCGGACACCTTCGACTGGAATTATCGTTCCGGTGCGAGAAAGGTGACCAAATTACTGGCCGAACCTCTTGTTTGCTACAGACTCCGCCTTGGAAAACAGGCCTCGGCCTTCTCCGCAAACCAGCCGAGACTGTCTACCAGCGAAGTGCCGATGCTGCAGAAAATCAACAAGAGCCGAGAAACCTATAGCACAGATGGTATGACCGAATATCAGGTTGACATAGTTCCCGTCGACGTCGTTGGCTTGGACATCATGGGCGAAGAACCAAACCCTCCCTTGCCTTCGCCGGGAACCACTGCGTCAGCTGACGAAGACGAAGAGGAGCTTGAGAACACCGCGGATCCTGCTCCCCAAACAACAATCAAAAAGCGAGTCACAAAACGGTATGACCCTTACAGCACCGACAAGATTTGGATCTCCAAGACCTTGGCAACGATAGGGATTCCAGACGTTGTGGAAAAGTGGAAGAAGGCAGAAGCGGAGAAAGCGGAGAAAGCAAACGCACCGAAGAAGGCCACACGTAAGACGGGCCCGCGGAAGAAAATCATCGACCCGGGTATGAAGCAGGGAAGCATCTTGAAGTACGGATTCTTGACCAAGGAGCGCTCGGAGATTGGAAGCGACAAGCGCCTCCAGCTCGCAAAGATCACAGATGATTCCGGTCTTTAGATTCATCGTTGCGAAAGGACACTAACAATTCTCTCACATGATCGGTCGCAGAACTGGTCTTTTTTCGCTGTGCTCGACATTGTGATCTACGCAAGGATATTGCAGACTCGATTGCCTATACTACCAAGTCCTGCAGCGACTTGCGCCGTGGCTAGAGCTACAAATGAGTGTTCCCGCCGCTTGTTCTCCCATTCGGGAAACAACACCTTGTGCCGGTACCGCTTAAAGCCAGCGCTCCAGCTCTTTGCAATCTTCGCTGAGAATTCCTTTGTTTCACTGGATTTGGATGATATACCGTACTGCGGCTGGGCAGACGGGAAGATTCCCATATACATGGACTCTCTCAGGAGTATATATCAGGACTAAACCCTTCGATAGTCTTGTCCTATGGGACCGTACAAGACAACAATATTGCGCCACTAGTCAACTTTCCTTGCTCTGGCTATCCTGGTCAGCAAACACGTCTAGATTGTCTCACCCGACTTCCTGAAAATGGAAAGACAATCAGCCCGCCTGCAAGAGGCTTCACCAGACGATGTGACCGGCTAAGTCCCGGCTCCAAACTCCAGATCTCATACCGTTCCCATCCCGGTGAAAGCGACGCGTCGCATCAAACTTACCTAGAAGAGACCGGTCAACAAATGGAATTCAAGACAGCGACTGTCACAGCCTAGGGTACAAGATGCGTCATTATATAGTCAAGATAAAACAACTGATATCATAGACATGAACAAATGACTATACAAGCCAAGATCTAATAGATGTCTGTGGCTGGGGAAGATTCTGCCCTAGAAAGAGATTCAGCCAGACCTCTCACTGTACACGTTCGGCCTCATCAAAACAATCTAAGCTGTGCCTTGTCTGTACGCATCGTTTCTTAAAAGGAACGAATCACCTGGGTTTTTTAAAACCTCTCCCCTTCCTCCCCAGGGGAGGTACCTTCCTCAGCCTTTACGAACATATAATGTAAATGAGGGACGTGCGAATCCTACCAATGATAGCTTCGTGGACAAGGATATCCTTCTGATTGATAGTACTCCTCTGGCCCCATTGCTTGAGGTTTGGATGTACAGTATAGGTAACTAGTATAGTGCGTCGAGATAGATTTTGGAAACAAACAGAACAAACAGGGAAATAGCAGGCGCGCCATCGGCGCCGCGGGGAAGAGACCGATCCCGGCCGGGCCCTAACTGAGGAGGATGAGGCGGTGGTTCGCTTCGAAGATACTGAAAAATGAAGACAGTTTGTAGCCGGAACGAGACATTCAAGAAACCCACTAGTATAGATCATTTGGCCGAGTTATGTATGCTCCTCAGGAACTAATCACAATTCGCTACGTTGTTTCCCCAGCAGTGGACTGTTTAAGTTCATTAAATTGATGGCGTCGCCTGTGGTCAGGGTAAACAAGTTGTTCATTCTCACGTCTCCTCAGGTAGAGAATGCATATCATGGACATACAGTGTAGGATACAAAAACGGTAGGAAGTAGTAGTCTTATACGCAGTAGAAACGCCACATGTCCCGTCCCCACTGCTGCAGATTAAACCTGCCGAACTAGCTTCTTTTGTGTAAGCTTATATTCATCTTCCGTGGCACCCAACAGCTTGGTATGGTGCTTCGCTCGGTCCCAGAAACTTCTCTTTCTGTATTGCAGCTTGATGGGTGATCTGGCCTCTAAGACAAACCCGGTTGCGCCGCTCCTCAATTTCGGTACTGAGGCTTCCAAGCCGAGTAGGGAAGAATGATATGGATTCGATAACTACACCCCGTATAGGGTAGCCGGAAGAACGAAAGACTGCTTGATATTGAGCCTAAAATAAGAGGCTATTGATGAGGCTATTCGTGAGAGAAAGGGAAGAGAGGGGAAGAAGGAGGGGAGGGAGGAATATGATGCCACCCGGCCTATTCCACCGCTTACCAAGTAAGTAAGGCAGGCATCATCCTCTCATTGCCTCCTGCCGCCTCAGCACCGGCGTAGCGCAGGCGTAGCGCAGGCGTAGCGCAGTACCTGCGGTAGTCACTGCGGGGCCATTTGCAACCGTAGTAGCATGCCTCTGACCACGTCGTTCTTCCGCTTGTCCGATATCAAATCCGCCGTGGTTCCCTTTGGCCAGATCAGTTGCGGATGCACGGCTGTATGAGGAATATGATTCTTTTTTTGACGTGGAATTGGCCGGTTCCCAACCATATTAGATACCCCGGCATATTTCCCATTGAGTGACGAGTTGATGCATCGGTTGCTTTGGGGGTAGGTTGATTCTCCTGTGGATGGTGCAGGACTATCGACTGTGGTTTTCTTGAGGATGCCAGAGTGCATTCTGTGTGCATTATGCAGAGTAAGACTGCAGCTTGTATACTGCAGCGCAGGCACGGCCAATGTTCCTGGTACACCAACTAAATTCCCTTTCGCTGCGGCTGGTTCCTCTGGCAGCTCACTAGGAACCGTGGCTGCCTCATGAGACCCGGAATCGACAGGCATGGTCCCCGACCTCCCAAGGAGAGGCGGCTCCGGGCTAGTTGAGGCCTCCGAGGCAGCCCTTGAATTCTAGACGATCTGTGCTGATCGTGTGGCCGGGGCGCTTTGTTTGTTTGGGAGTGACTCTCTCTCTGTAGGGTTGGCCCATCCTATCCTCAAATGTCTTGAATATATTGCTGTTCGATTCATTCTGTCAGAGACGGTTCGGCATGTTCTCGTTCTCTTGTCATGATGACACACAACGCTCTATAAGCACAGCTATGACGTGTGAATCGTACGCCAGGAGCTCTATACTGCACAGCATGCGCATCTCGGGCCATTTACAACTGGCCCATGCTTTGATGAACACGTCTGGAAGATGGCGACGTCCACGCACGAGTCGAGCATTGCCAGTGCGACTTCTTGCGAGTGCTTCAGGTCAGGGACTGTCCACGGTTTGAGTGAAGTTAGCAATGATGAAGCTAGACGATGCAATGGCAATTCGAAAAGCTCGAATCCTGCCGCGAATGAATGCAACATTACGCTGCTTACTGAAAAGTGACTCTGATCCTGCGTGGCAAAACGATGTTGTGGAAGGAGTTCGACAGCTAGGTAGAACCCTTGCGTCGCACAGTTTCACTCCGTAAGGTGGCCGGTCATCGACACGATGGTCTGGATTTACAACAATCTTGCATAGCAAGCCCACGGTTCCATTTCTTCTCATCGTGGCTGTATGAGACGCTTGGAAGGACCACTGAATCCGCGCAAGTACTATTTTCCCGATGGGGGGACTCTTCTTCTTTGCAATACGTTCCTTTTCCGCAGCCCTCTTTCGGGCGAGACGATACCCTCCCTATCTATTGCGGGCTAGTCAGAACCACTGACGCATCACATAACGACAAAGGTGTACTTGCCACTTGTTCTAATCCTTCAATCATCCGCGGAGGACATTTTACGCAAGCAGCATCCGGAGACTTGGAACGATTCCTTTGATCAAGCTGGTCGCGCTAGCTCATTGCCATCCATTTCCATCAAGTACTGAACATTACGCCGTATGATGTGGTTCGCTCGCGGTGTGGTTTGGGATGCCCATTCTCTCTCTCCATGCTTTGTGTCTCCGCTATTGAGGATGGAATTTTGGAGGAGCTTGATGATTCGGTGCGATTCGAGGACGACATGTCCACGAGCCTTAGCTAGCATACAACTTTGGGCAAGGCATACCTCGAACGACAAAGATGTACGTGGCTGGGCTGGGTCGCTCGGCGCTTTTGTAGGAGCCGCCTGCTAGGACCTGCAGATGCTAGTCGGTCTCGTACAATAGGTAGATATAAAGCACAATATCCTGTTGATAACTGCGTACCATGAAAGGAGTCTTCGCGAGATCAGAAAGCCTGTCATATGAGAATGGATCCAGGATATCAAACATGGTGGGTAGCTTTTGTAATTTGATGAGAGGATGGAAGATTGTTTGTGGAAAGGAAAGAGAGGAATAGAGAGACGGTGGTCCTTCTTTATATGTGTATAGATAATGTTTACCTTCCTCGATGAATGAGGATGCAAGTTCACCAATTGAATGTATATCAATGTGGGATGAATCGTTACAGGGAAAGATTGACCTTAAAGCCAGAGTACGATTGAATGTGCTTGTTAGGCGTAACATGTTATTCTAGTAGACAGGTATTCACATTGGCAACAACAGCCTGGGTGAATCGAAAGCATGCATCCAGTAGCCAGGCTGAACCTATTAGGTGGAGCATCAAGCATACAGAAGAAATATTGAGTAAATCAGTAAGAAGGGGTTGGTATCGATTGCAAGCGCCCAGGTATCACGAACTCAGAGATCTATCTAGATCCATCTATCACAAAGCAGTCCATTCCATGTATGTCAGGAAGCGATCCCCGGCTGCAAGTGTCCTTTGACCAGTTATCACTAAAGTGAGTGAGAATAATAATAAAAATAGCAATAGAAGAGTGTGTAGGATAATCGGCGAGGCGTAGAGAGAAAAGCAAGTAAAGATGAACAGATAGCTGCGCGTCATATAAACAAAGAAACAAGAGGTCGTCAGGCGGGATTTGTCCTCTAGCAAATATAGTAAGGGGAATATGGAACAGGAAGGGATAATGCGGCCAACGCCGACAGGAATTAGGGATTTGGAGTCTAATTGTCTCAGCCGAAGACCTTGAGAAAGCCCCACAAGCCAACACCGCTAAGAACAGGGATCGTCAGATTATCGTCCCAGCCGAACAAGTCAACGAACTCGCTACCGGCAGCCACCAAGCCGGAGACAACGCTCATGACTCCAAGGGCCAGAGGACCCGACAGGACAGCGTTGGAAGTATCCGCAGTCCAGCCGAGCAGATTCTTGACTGAGCCAGGGATCAGATTGAGGCGTCCGGTAAACATAAAAGAGCCTTCAGGATCATTGGGGAAAGTCCCGATGTAAGGGACAAAGAACCCCCAAAAAGCGGCAGCAGTGATGACCCCAACCAGCCAGGCGCTCAAGGTACCCGCCAAGCTCTTGCCTTTGCGGAGCTGAGGGGTGTGTCGGCCATAGAGACGACCGAAGGTGGAAGCAGCAGTGTCACACCAGCTAAGTAGCAGCACGCTCATGACGCCGACATCCTTGGGAAGGAAGCGCAAGACAGCATATGCGCCCAACAGATACCAAATGACGCCATTGTAACCGGAAACTTCTGTCTCGCGCATCAATGCTCCCACGCAGCGAATATATAGCTTATTGACTGTCTCTGAACGATGGCGAATGATGTCGACAGAAGCGATGGGGACCAAAGCGCCAAAGAGCCATGGGGTTATTTCGAGCGGCTGAATACCACGTGTGTACAAATGCAGTGTGAGGAAGCCGATGGAGACGTGGAGGAGCTTGCGCGGGATTTCATGTCGGTGGATGAAGCTGCGATAGCGGCTATGGAGAGGAATGAGACCAAGAGGAGAAGGAGATCGCGAAATGCTCTCCCAAGCGCCACTGGGCCTGAGTAATGGCGACAGGTACCCATTGTTCGATGCGGTATGACCGTTCGTTGTTGGCGATCTGGCTTTCCCAGTCGGAAGTTTAGGGTTGGACTTGCGTTTGCGTTTTCGCGCTGATTCTGGGCTGGGAGGACTCCGAGAACGAGCCCGTGAGCGCTTGAGAGTCGCATCCGCGTCGCCGTTGGTCTCCTCCGCCACTTCACCAAGTCGTTGTCGACGCGCAGCCGAGCGCGTGGTGGGTCCGAAGTAGTCTCGCGAGCTCGATCTCGGGTCTGAGGGGGTGGGGGAGGGCGAGATCACACGAGGAGTCTCGGGAATGGCATCATGGTTTGTAGACATCTCGACCGCGGGTATGACGAAAGGTGGAAGGGCCGGTTTCAAGATGACTCCAGACAAGGGTCGCGGAGTTAGGTAGACGAAGAGGGCAGCACGAAAGCCCGGTATAGGGGAGCTGAGCGCTTCTAACGACGCAATGATGGGCAGGTCGAACGACGAATAGGTGCAACGATGACGAGGGAATGTGGCTTATGGCAGCCAGCGTCGATTGCAGTCGTATGTACAGTACCAGGCAGACACACCGTTGCGCATGACGTTTCACGCTCAGTAAAAGATCGACATGACACACGAGAGACAAGAATTGTACAGTGAGGGTTTAGGAGAAATTCACTGCACCGAAAGGAGAGCAGCTAGGATCGAGTATGAGTTAAGATGGGAGATACGCAGACTTTCGTTCAGCTTCGATTTCAGCCTGGAAACCGATTGGCTTCCGCCGAATCCGCAGGCGGTCACGTGTGTCTACTGGCAGAAATCCCCCACCGCCTCCGGTATCTAATCGATAAGGGAAAAAAAAAACTGGAGGATTGAATCTGAAGAAAAGAAAAGATCGATAACGGTGTGAGGTGTTCAATCAATTATCAAATTACTCTGGGGAGAATTGAGCGTTAAGCAGCGGACTCAACATGGCCCCTAAACCTCCTCCTGGCACATCTGCCAGAGCGTGGGATGGAGTGACACCCCCTCTCTCGGAATGGGTGCTCGACGCCGTCTCCTCCATGGGCTTCACGCGCATGACCCCCGTCCAGGCGTCGGCCATTCCTCTATTCATGGCGCATAAGGATGTGGTGGTGGAGGCAGTCACTGGCAGTGGCAAGACGTTGTCTTTCTTGATCCCCGTTGTCGAGAAGCTTTTGCGACTGGAGGAGCCTCTCAAGAAGCACCACGTCGGCGCAATTATTATCTCTCCCACCCGGTAGGTCCCATCTCAATCAGGACAGGATTGCGGCCATGGGCTAATAATCTATTTCAGAGAACTCGCTACTCAGATCTACACTGTCCTAACCTCGTTGCTTGCCTTCCATCCTCCATCTGCCTCCGTGCTCAACCCCGCCGAAGACGCCGAAGCGCCTCGTCCCAAACACCTCTCCTCCGCCCTCAAGGTTGTGCCGCAGCTTCTCCTGGGTGGTTCAACAACCCCCGCGGAGGACTTGAGCACCTTCTTGAAGCGGTCCCCAAATGTGTTGGTCTCGACACCAGGACGGTTACTGGAGCTCCTCTCCTCTCCCCACGTACATTGCCCTCAGTCATCGTTCGAAATGCTCGTCATGGACGAGGCCGACCGACTGTTGGATCTGGGATTCAAGGACACACTGCAGAACATCCTGCGTCGACTGCCCAAGCAACGGCGCACCGGTCTTTTCAGTGCCAGTATCAGCGAGGCAGTCGACCAGATCGTGCGAGTCGGTCTTCGCAACCCGGTCAAGGTCATGGTCAAAGTCAAGGGCACGTCAGGAGCCCAGGATAAGCGCACACCGGCCAGGTCAGTTTTCTGCATCACTGCCCCACCCCCCAGTAATGCTAACCTGCTAACATAATAAACCAGTCTACAAATGACCTACCTCACCACGTCTCCCTTACACAAATTCGCGACCTTACCCGCCCTCCTCCGCTCCGTCGAACCCACCCCCCAGAAAACCATCTTCTTCGTCTCCACCTGCTCGGGGGTCGACTACCTCGCGGGCATTCTCCCTCTGATCCTGGGCGATGATTTCCAGCTGATCCCACTGCACGGCAAACACCAAGCCAACGTCCGCGAGAAGAACTTCACCCGCTTCCTCAACTGCCACACGCCCGCCATCCTGCTCACCACCGACGTCGCCTCCCGAGGACTGGACATCCCCTCGGTCGACCTCGTCGTCCAGATCGACCCGCCCTCCGACCCGAAGACCTTCATCCACCGCTGTGGCCGCGCCGGCCGCGCGGGGCGGAAAGGTCTGAGCGTGGTCCTGCTCCACCCGGGCCGCGAGGAGGACTACGTCTCCTTCCTCGACGTCCGCAAGACGCCGGTCGTCCCGTACCCGAAGCCCCTCACCGTCTCCGACGCCGACGCCGCCGCCGCGACCAAGCGGGCGCGCAAGGCCGTGCTCGCCGACCGGGCCCTGCATGACCGGGGCCAGAAGGCGTTCGTCAGCTGGCTCCGAAGCTACAGCAAGCACCAGGCCAGCAGCATCTTCCGCGTCGCCGACGTCGACTGGGAGGCGCTGGGCAAGGCGTGGGCCCTGCTGAAGTTGCCCAAGATGCCGGAGCTACGGTCCTTCGCGGGCGACCGGACACTGGGCGTCACGCTGGACTGGGACAACTTCACCTACAAGGATAAGCAGCGGGAGAAGCGCCGCAAGGAAGAAATGCAGGAGAGAGCCGAGCAGGCGGCAGCTGCGGCGGCTAACGAGGGCGACGAATCCTCCAACAAGCGACGGGCGAGCGAAAGCGCCTCCGCCTGGAGTAAGAACCTCGAGACGCGGAACAAGAAGCAGAAGCGCAGAGAGGTGAAGCAGGCACGGGCCCAGCATACCCGGTGGGAGAAGATGACCGAAGAAGAGCGGCAGAAGGCGCGCGAGACAGAGCAGATGGTGGAGCAACTCCGTCTCAAGAATGAAGAGGAACGTCGACTGCGGCGCGCAGCCAAGGCGGCCGAAGGCAAGGGTGATGCTAATGCGGAGGATGACGAGTTTGAAGGTTTCGATTGAACTGACATCATGTATCCTGGTTTCTTCCTATCGTCATATAATTTTGATACCATGTCTACTACGTCTATAGATCCTGATGCCCAATAGATGACTCTCTTTCTCGCATTCTACTTATCCATGCAGTTTTACCCTTCGTCTATCGAAGGCAGACAACCATTCCCATGGACTACTCATGTTTTCTGCCATAACAATGAATTGATCACAAACGAGTGAACTGTACATCGATTGTCTGTGTGGGTAATAAAGACGCTAGAGTGCCACTCGATACATGCAAAGCAATTCTTAATACAGACAACACCGGGAATGCTTCGCAAACCAAACCAGACAAAAACAGTGATGGTATCCCAAGACCTTTCTAAAACAACTCCTACCACAGATAGGACAAAAGCTCATAGCGCAAGCAACCTTTGACCGCGTGATCCTGACCACAATCCACGATGAATGGTATGTAACAACCTGCGTCATCGGGAGTGAACAACAGCAATACAAAACCTGTAACAACCTTCGGCGAGAACAGGCGAGCCACAATCCTGCGCAGACGGATTCAATGACTTGCATCATAAGAAAGAACTAAACAACCTTGCGCCTCAACAACATATAACCATTTTGAGCCGACCACGATCTTGGGGCGTAGAAGACGAATCTATGGGCCGAAGCCATGATAGGGAGACCACAATCAAAACCTGAACAACATTCGACAAGATGGGCAGACCACGAGTTAAGGTGCGATGATGGATGTGGTGATCTGAGCGATAGAGAGCAAGCGACAATCCAAAACCTGAACAATTTTCGACTGGACGGGAAGACCACGATTTGGTGTAAAGACGAATGTGGTGGTCCTCAGGCGCGATGAAGAGGAGCTAACGACAATCCAAAACCTGGACAACAGCCGACCGAATGTGCAGACCACGATTTGGTGTATGCAAAGACGAATATGGTGGTCTGGTCGATGAAGAAGGGCACACGACAATGAAAAACCTGAGCAACTTTCAACCAGATGGGCAGGCCACAATTTGGTGTGGTCTGAGCGATGAAGAGCCAACGACATGACAAAGCCTGAGCAACTTTCGACCAGATGGGCAGACCATGGTTTGATGTAAAGACGAATGTAGTTGTCTGAGTGATGGAGGTACACGGCAATCAAAAACCTGAACAGCTTTCAACCAGATAGGCAGACCATAGTATGGGATAAAGACGAATGTGATGGTCTGAGCGATGAAGGTATACGACAACTGAAAACCTGAACAACTTTCAACCCAATGAGCAGACCATGGCTTGGTGTAAAGACGAATGTGGTGGTCTGAGCGATGGAGGTACACGGCAATCAAAAGCTTGAACAACTTTCAACCAGATAGGCGGACCATAGTATGGGATAAAGACGAATGTGATGGTCTGAGCTACCAAGGTATACGACAACTGAAAACCTGAACATCTTTGAACCCGATGAGCAGACCATGGCTTGGTGTAAAGGCGAATGTGGTGGTCTGAACGACGAAGAGCGAATGATATGCCAAATCCTGAACAAATTTCAACCAGATAGGCAGACCAAGGCTTGGTGTAAAGGCGAATGTGGTGGTCTGAGTGATTAAGAAGAACTAACGACATCCCATAACCTGAGCAACTTTCGACCGGATTCAGTAGTAACATTTATTAAGGAAGGTTTTATGCGAGTGCGGCGTGCGAAAGGCCAGTCTCCATTTCGCGCCTGAACGCTTCCAGGCCGGGCGTCCAAATATTATCGTAAGCGTGATCGACCACTGAAGGATCCCACATTTCGTTGGCGATGCGTACTGCCTCGGCACTGAAGCCCATATCTTCATAATTCTCGGCTTCCGGCCAGGCAAGCTCGGAGAGGTCTCCAGTTGGGCAATTCTCATAGAGCCACTGAGCATCGCGAGCGAATTGGTCGTCACCGAAGTCCTCGGGGCTGGATGCACGCTCGGGACTAGCGACAGGTCCGGGAACTGTGCTGGGGGTAGCAATAGGTACGGAGACTGGGTCAGGAGTAGTAGCAAGAGTCAAAGGGCTAGAATAGCGGCTCGCAGTGCGGAGTCCACTGGGCGTCTTGGGTTTGTATTTCTCTGCCTGCAAGCGGACTCGAGCAAGAGCATCATCTTCAACCTTGGCTGGGGTAGTAGGAGGGACAAGCGCCTGCTGCGGAGTCGCGCGAGTCTCGTCGGATGATGTGCTAGATGGAAGATTGGTTAGCAGGCCAGTGCCTTGCCTGGGCTCGTGAAGATAAGATGAAGAACATACCTCTCAGTAATGTGAGGCTGCGAAGGAGCTTCAATGGGCGAAGTGGTCTGTGTATCGGGCACAGATTCAGGGGCAGAAGTACTGGGTTCCGATGGGGAGTCCGAATAGGGAGTCTCGAATGTACCGGCTCGGTTGGGAACGAAATCTGGTGTAGCCTCGTCTTCCGAAGCTTCAGAGGAGGTGTCAGAATAAGGAGTCTCGAAAGTACCATCCCGATTGGGAACAAAGCCAGGAGCTGGGGTATCTTCTTCTGAGACATCAGAAGAAGTATCAGAATAGGGGGTTTCAAAAGTACCATCACGATTGGGAACGAAGCCTGGGCGACTGCGCAGATCCGGGTAAACAGTGGACTGTTCGGCCTGCGAAACGTGGGTAGGAGGCAGAGACGAAGATGAGTTACTCGATTCGCCAGACAGATCCATGCCGACGAAATGCTGTCCAGTATACGGATCGGTGGCGCGGGGCTTCATTCTAAGCTTGGATGGGGTATCCTGGGGACTCGCATCGAATCGAACTTTCTTCGAAGCTGGACGCTCGGACCGGAGAACATCGCGAATGGCGGACTTTCCTTTCACGTCTTGTTTCTTGGGTTCGGTTTGTGGGAATGCAGGCTCCTCGTCTTCATCTTCTTCATCGTCAGAGATCACGAAGTAGTCCTCGTACATTCCATAGCTGCATCCAGGCGGGTTAGGGATCACATCAGGGGAAGGGGCCCGCTTGCGCTTCTTCTGGCTTGGAGTGGAGGTGCTAGGCTCCCCTGAGACAGGGTTACGGCCTCGAGTTTTGCTTGCTTCGGCAGTGGATTCACCAGAATCTTTGGGGTTCGATGTATCGGCCGGAGGCTCAGGTACTTTGGATGGAGCCTCGGCAGGGGTCTGTTGGACAGACTTGGGGGTGGCTTTAGGTTTATCATCAAGGTAGCGAGACCTGTCAATAGTAGCAGGGAACAGGGAGAAGGAGAGATCACGCTGCGGCTGTTGGGTCGGTCCCTTGGTCTTGGGAGTGGGAGACACTGTTCTGTTCGAAGGAACGAACGCTCTAGGCTGTGTACGGTTGAGCGGCTCGGTTGATGGTTCTGCTGGCACTAACAAGCATAAGCGGAATAAATGATACCAAGCCATGAAGAAGGCATACCTTGATTCTCATTTCTTTCGGGGGTTCGTCCAAAAGTGGGAATGAGACGAGAAAGTCTGCGAGGGACAGAATTCAGTAGCCCGCGGATTCTCCAGCTACTCGCAGGCCGGTCCGGAGTGGTAGGTTGCTGTGTCGGTTCCGGTTCCGATTCCGGTTTCTGTGCATCTTGTTCATGAAGTAGTTCGTTATCCTCAAAGCTTGGGAAAGGTTCAGTCATCGAGATATCTTCTCCTGGAACTGGGGTCTTCTCAGAAGCGAGACGATCAGCGTCCTCCTGGGCGAGGTACTGCGAGATGCGAAGACTGGTCCTGTAAATGCGGCCTTGCGACTCGGCGTTGCGGCGGCGAAGTCTCTCCGAAAATGGGGTAATATTGGCGGTGACACGGCGAGGCAAGGGACTGGCATGGGAGAAGGGAGTACTTCCGGGAATACCAAGGTTGCGCCGCTTATTCGCAGCGGGGGTGACTGGCTCCCCGTCGTTCTTGTCATTGTCGTCTTCATTGGTTGGGCGACGACGCTTCTTGTCTGTGCTGTACATTAGCCCCGCTCTCTTGGAAGAGGATGTGCCATGCCCCAGACCCCCCGGAGCACTAACAGACCCCTGTTGAAGGGAATCTGTGGCGAGACCGTTGCTCTCACCCGACCCGAGGTGCTCGGGCACGGGTGAAAGCACGTCCACAGCCCGACGCTGATTCGTAGGACGTGGACCGGTCCCGAACGGATGAAATGTACTACCCGCGAGGGGAAGAGGTTCGATTTCGAGTCCTGCGAATAATACAGAACCTGTATCACACATCTCGATATCTCCCTCCGCTCCCCCCGGGGAGCCCACAGACGGCACCGCTGGTACCTCGTCTGATTGGAGGTCCATTGGCGCCGTCGTGGCTGGTTCCTCCAGCAGCTCACTAGGGACTGTGACTGCCTCAGAAGACCCGAAGCCGGCAGACATGGTCCGCGACCTCTCAAAGAGAGGCGGCTCCGGGCTACTTGAAACCTCCGAGGCAGCACTTGGTCCCTGGGAGGTCTGTGGTGGTTCTCTGGCCGGGGCGCTTTGTGTGTTGTTGGGAAGGGACTCACTCTCTATAGGGTTAGAGTTCTGGCCCACTTCGGTGCTGCCGTTCTCCTGTGAAGATGGTTCCGCTTGGGATGCGGTGGGTTCAGCGTTCTCGTTCTCTTCGGTCTGGTGCTGTTCGGTCTCCTCGGAATCTGATTGGCCAATTTTGCGAGTAGTTCGGCGCGTTGTGCGCTTCTTTGTAGAGGCCTTCTTCTTGCTAGGAGCCTTTTTTGTCGTTGTGGAAGACGCTTTCTTGGCGCGCGTTGCCTTGGGGCGAGGAGCGGGCTGTTCTTCTTCGGCGGCGGACTGCTGCGAGTTGCTTCTAGTCGACCTAGTGGGGCGAGCAACATTGTGGTCATCTAGGGAGACGAAGCCACCAGGCGACATCATCTGCGAGCGAGTACGCATTTTGACTGTTCGAGAAAGTGAATGGTAATTGGTAAGTGTTCGAGTTAACGCGGCACTAAAGTGAGCACCGTTGGTAAATTTGATATGCGAGAAGACCTTTCAAATTTTCCAAGATAGAGGTAGCTTGAAGCGCAGGTCGACGGTAAGAGAAGAGATGGGGGATAGCGGATTCGAAAAAGGCAAGGTTGCGGTTTTCGCGCGCACAGAGAACAGGACAATGACCCAAGTTGCAATTTAGCTTCAACGTTGAGAGCCCGTCTCGTGGCGTGGGTGTGAACCCCAAGCTGAAGCAAGCACAGCAGGATTCGACAGGGGTGAAATATCAACACACGTGAAGAAAGATGATGGTGATTGCGAACTGATGGAGAGTACAGGTTGTCGGGACTGGAAAACAAAGCCTGAGTCGAATAAAGCTCGAGTCTTCAGGCACAAAGAAGTGATCAGGGTGGAAGCAATAGGAAGAGAGGGTGGAGGAGACAGGAAGAGAAGGTGGAGGAGACAGGAAGAGAGGATGGAGTGTAGGATGGGCAGAAGAGAGAGAAGGAGCGAAGGGAAAAGCGCGACGGAATTCCGACTCTGCTAACACTGCGAGGCAGGAAGCCAAGCACAGGTGAGTACAGACAAGGAAAGAGGAGGGCGATGTCTCGAAGCGCACAAGAGCAATTGTTTGTGTGTAGATAAGAGCTTTTGCGAAGTGCGAAACAGGTGGAGAGGAGAGGGAGGATGTTGTAGAGAAGATGAGAAGGGAAGAGGATAAGAGGAAGGAAAGAAAACAAAACTCACTGGGTGGGTGGGCTGTGTTATGATTCTGTTGTTATGGTGTTATGGCGCGTGTGGGCCGTGGACCCGCGGGGCAGCTGGCAACATTCACTACCGGAGCAAGCAAAGCTATAGCATCTGGTGATGGATGAGAAGATGGCAGTGAAGTGAATATTCACTCGACCGCGCGGGAAATTTGCGGCTCGAGGGAGTGACGTCCCGGCAGAATTGACAAGGCGGTGACGCCGTCGGCAACCGCAATGTCGCCGCAAATTCCCAGTCAGTCCAGATTACTCGGTAATCGTTATGAAGACATCAGGCATGAAAGGGTCATACTATACCCTGATCTGAAAGACTTTTACATGAATCATAAAATATGCAGGCTGCTGAGTGGTTGAGCGAAGTAAAGAAATGTGCCTAGTCAGTTACACCAATTCGTACTACAAGTCGCAGACTCATTGTTCAAAGCGCAGAGGCAATGAGAAGTCGCATTCCATGCAAGTTAATTCTAAGTCGTGGAAAACGATAGCAATATTTGTACAGTACACAGCGATGATCTTGAAATGACCAGAAATCGCTGGAGTGAGGTGGCACTAGATGAAAAACAGTTTCGCCGGCTCTCTGCCATAATCGCCAGGTTGGTGGGGGAGAGGAACGGTTTCAGAGACAAAATCATGAGGTTGATATACGCCAAAGGGATAGTTTGGGAAGGGGGTGGTCAAAAGAAATTATAGAATACAAACGCCGGCAGAGTCCCGATTACATGCTGATCTCACCCTGCCAAGCAGCGTCGGAGAGGCCGAGAGTCTGGACCAGGTTCTGCCATCTGGGACCTCCACGCTCCTTTCGTCGCAGATAGCGGAGAAGCTTCTGTCGCTTGTGCACGAGGAGGCGCAGGTTGCGTTTGTTGTGCTTGTCCTTGTTGGTCGTCTCAAGATGTCTGGACAGATTGATGATCTTGGCTGTCAAGATAGCCACCTGCACTTCTGGGGAGCCAGTATCAGCCCCGATCCGGGGAAACTTTTCGGGAGGAGAAGTTGCAGAGTCGAGAGACACGCTAGCTGGTTTGGGGGGCAATGTCTGGTCCGTGTTGTGCCGACCAAAGGTCTCGATACATTTCTGGATGTTAAGGCGCATGCGATCTTGGTTGTTTCCGTTGTCAAGTTTCAAGATACGGTTCATGGCTTCCAATGCATTCTCGTGCTGCTTGTTGTGTTGCTCAGCTTGCTCCATCTCAAGCTGAGGGTCGGCGGCATCACGGTCCGGGTTCGCGAGAGGAGAAGTCAAATCCTTCGAATGGTCGAGAGCACTCTGTAGTTCAGCCGGTTTCACGAGGAAGTTGGGGGAGGCATTCTCGGGACGCGTCTGGGTCTCCTGCAATTCTTGGATGAAGGGGGTAGGTGCGCTTTTGACCGGGTCTCCCAAAGCTTGTTCACGTTCCTGGGCGAGAGCTTGTCGGCGAGAGAGGTTGGCTGCCTTGCGCTGGCGCGACTGAGCGGTCAAGAAAGGGTCATGCCTGCGACGTTCTCTTGCCTCTGCAGAACCGGCTCTGATTGTGGTCTTGGAAGGGGTGAGGGATAGGGCGGCGAGCGGACTCTGAATGGAGGAGGAGCCTGGTATCAACAGCACACAAGTTAGAGAGATATTGGCGACCGACCAAGGCGGAAGTGGTGAAGGAGGAGTGATGACATACCAGTGAAAGCCCTGAGGGAAGACTGAAGAAGCAAGCGAGGAGACATGGTTGGAAGCGTGAGACGGCGAGCACTGGCAATGGTCGTAGAACAAACCGGAGCTTCTTCGCATCTAAGGCCCGTCAACCAGCACAGGCGCGCTGAACTTTCTCCGAAATCTCGAAGACCGGGCAAAGGACGCTAGTCCTGGTTTGGGTAGTTAGTCTCACGTGATATCAGGGGACGGTCCGGGGACTCCCGGTCTTGGCTAACCCTAGCCCTAGAATTCACAAACGGCAAGCGAAATTCATCACCATCTCAGCGCGGCGTGGAAAAGTTCAGCTTCGCGTTCCGTCTCTCCTCCCGTCATCACCACCGCGACAAGCGCCAGTCGATTGATATCCTCAATTCGATCTCCTTTGCAGAGTCAATCGTCCACCATGGCCCCCTCCCAGCTCCCCCCGATCTTCAACCCTACCTCCCAGGACATTGAGCAGCTCCTGGCTGCCCAGTGCCACCTGGGATCCAAGAACCTCCAGTCCCACATGGAGCCTTACCTCTGGAAGACTCGCCCCGACGGTGTCAACGTTATCAACATTGGCAAGACCTGGTACGTTTTACTAGGAGAAGGAAAATCGCAACGCGCAATCGGAGGAGACACGCGAATGGAAATGCAACACGAGATGAATAAATTGGGCCAGAAATCTGACTTGCGCGCGCACGCGCGATTGTTATAGGGAGAAGATCGTCCTGGCCGCCCGTATCATCGCTGCCATCGACAACCCGGCCGATGTCTGTGTTATCTCCGCTCGTCCCTACGGTCAGCGTGCTGTCCTGAAGTTCGCTTCCCACACCGGTGCCACCGCCATCGCCGGTCGCTTCACCCCCGGTAACTTCACCAACTACATCACCCGCTCTTTCAAGGAGCCCCGCCTCATCATCGTCACCGACCCCCGCACCGATGCTCAGGCCATCAAGGAGGCCAGCTACGTCAACATCCCCGTCATCGCCCTCTGCGACACTGACTCCCCCACCGACTTCGTTGACGTTGCCATCCCCACCAACAACAAGGGTCGCCACGCCATCGGTCTCGTCTGGTGGCTGCTCGCCCGTGAGGTCCTCCGCCTCCGTGGTACCATCGCCTCCCGCGAGGTTGACTGGGACGTCGTTGTCGACCTGTACTTCTACCGTGACCCCGAGGCTGAGGAGAACAAGGAGATTGCCGACGAGACCAAGGTTGCCTCCGCCGAGGAGGTTGGCCCCGCTGCCATCGAGTCCGGCTACGCTGGTGACAACTGGGACACCGCCGGTGCTGGTGCTGGTGCTCCTGGCACTGCTTTCTCCGCTGCTACCGCTGCTGCTGGTACCAGCTGGGAGGCTGACGGTGCCGATTGGGCTGCCAGCTCTGCCGCTCCTGCTGGCGAGAGCTGGGCTGAGACCAAGCCCGCTGAGGGCAACTGGTAAATGTTTGAACCCGGTGACACGGACGGTCGTTGAGAAGGGATTTTGATTCACATCTTCTTTTCCATGAAGCATCTTGGGCGATTGGTTGGGGAGCTTTCAGTGGACTCCCTTTGCGCAAATCGGAGCGACACTCGTGCACACCCTTCCAACCACAAAAGAGGAAAAGTAATCCCCTTGTCATGTCTATCCTAGTCTCTGTTCAACAAGTTACCAAAAAAACCAAAAAGCAAAGGAAGAAAAATGAGGAAAAAAACACACAATCAACGGGAGATCCACTACTTCAAACAACCCCTTTTCCTACTCTTTTCCTTTCTGACGTGGTATGCTACGGTGAAAACCTTTTTCCCGCCCATCCGATATTTGATATTTCGTTTATGGTGTGCATCGGGGAGGAATTGCAACGTTAAACAGTTGACTTGGCGCTTATGAGGGAAAGATATCCAGTTGTTCTCTTGCCTCGGTGAGCTTCTGGGGGAAAGCCCTGTGCTGTCAATCTACAAGGTGGACTTAAGCGTTACCTTGGTTTCTCCCTGCATGTTTATCATAGCGTAATTGAAAAGTGATGCCAGCTACCATGTCTTTCCACCTTCTTCGTAGCATTAGAGATAGTAGAGTAGAGATGCGTAACGCCAGTGGATGGGTTGAAGTCGATTTCGATATGCGATATCAACAATCTACAAGTAGTACGGTATATCCGGATCTGCCTTATTAGAGCCATCTGCTATGTGCTTTAAACCTCTGTCCATCCGCCTACCTCAACTTCCAAGGTTACCAGACTCCGGGCATCCAAAAAAAGGCCCGACCAAAACACTCATGAATGATAAAGTGATGAGAAAGAAGGGTATCACAAACAAAAAAAAACCAATCAACACACAACGCAACCCCCTTTACTCTGCCCGCCCGCAGCCGTCAAGGTCATCCCCGCCATCCGCGCGATATCCTCAAAGGTCTCCGCCATCAACTCACCCGTAGCGGCGGAACATTCCGCATACCGATCGCATCGAAGTTCCTGGGCGATGCGGTATGACTATGAAACAAATCAGCGTCCATCACATTCTGCAAACAAGGAAAACAACAACCCATTTTCAGGACCAAACTCACCTCCTGTGGGTAGATGGTTCCCTCTCCCTCGACTCGGAGATCTCGTTTCAATCCCACCACCATGATGGGGATGCGCTCCCCGTAGCCGTGTTGGAAGTACCGGATGATATCGTGTCGCCACTGGGAAACATGTGTCAGAATGGGGCAAGCCATGATGAAGGGGTCAGGAGGCCTGCGATATGAACAATGGTCCCCGGGCTTCAGGTCCACTTACCCCTCTCAACCCGTTCAGGGTCTCGCGATTGGAGATATCGAACGCCAGAAGCACCACATCCGGCCGGAGAGTCGACCAGTGCTGATTGGGGCTGGCGGTATCGAAGATTTCGAGAGTGAATGACTTCTTGGAGAAGCGAATGTCATAGAGAAAGGGTTGGTCGCTATCCCGTAATGGGACGTCGTCTCCTCTTTGTCCTTGAAGTCGGCGATGGTTGGATTTCAGGCTTCTGGGTGGCATTAGCGGACAAATACGATTTTTTCTAGGGCGAGGAAGGGAATAGTAAGGATAACAATGAGTCACATTGCCGAATGCTGCATATGATGATTTGTCAAAGAACAGAATTTACTCACGATAGAAAGGTCGACTTGCCACAACCTGAGTCTCCTAAGAGTAAGATCGTAACCGTCGGGTTGTCTTCTTGGAGGTAGGAGTCCGCCATTCCGAATGGAACGCTACGAGTGTTTGTGACTTATTGAGAGATTCTGTTGCTTGTAAAGCGCACTCAATTGTCACCGACAGCTGAACATCTCTCGGTAGTTCTACAGGGCTATTGCCTGTGATGGTTAGCGAGATAGTCAAGATACAGTAGTGTGCGAGATGCGATAAGATCCGGAATATGTATGTCACGCCGTCCGCCTTCGAACCAGTCGTTGCTTGATACTTCCCACGGTAAATCTTCTCTGGGCAACCAACAGGAATTACTGTCCATAGAATACAGTGATATGCGTTTCTACTATGGAAGGTAGCATGATAAACTCAAGAAGTATTTTCCTTTCGAACATAATCGAGCCACAGCTGAACGACCATATCTTCCAATGTCAGCGGACGTAAAAATACCAGGGTTACACGAGCAATACACTCCGTAAGTCATCTGGATCAGCGACTCCAAAATTTTGCTTCGCAGCCCCAGAGAAAACAATTTCCGCTGCCACCTCCGCGAAAGTCTCGAGTCCACCCAACGTTCTTTTCCTCACGGGTATGCGAAGTCTCCAAGGAAGCCTTCGCACCTTCTTGACTCGTGCTCAAGAGTCCACTACATACAGATCCCGTCTAACAGCCGCCGCATCTTTCCACTGTTTCGCTCGTTCCTTCGCCCAGGTTAATTCCTTCCCGCCGCTGCAAACCATGTCGGATCAGCAGCAGCAGCAGCAGCCCGCGAAGACGCCAACCCAGCCAGCGTCTGGCTCCTCCGATAAAGAACCGGACTACTCGACATGGCCTACCTCCAGTCTGATTGCTCGCATCACCGAACTTGAGCGCCAACTCCACTCCCGGACAGCGGAGTACGCCGCATCGCCTGCCCCCACGACGCAGAGCACTACAAGCATTCCTCAGCAGCAGGACGACAAACCTACCGAGAAAAGGCCTGCCGATTTGCCCTCTTCGACAGCCAAGCAGGAATTACAGCCACGGAAGCCTAAGCCCGCGAAAGTGCGCCGGGAGATCGATCCTTCGAAGTATAACACGCGCTACATCGCGCTGAAGTTTGCCTACCTGGGACAGCGGTATAACGGATTGGAACACGCGAACGGCAATGCCACACCGTTGCCGACCATTGAGGAGGAACTTTATAAGGCACTGCGCAAGACACGTCTGATCTTTCCGACCGATACTTCTGGGGATGACTTTGTCGACAACTATGCGCCGCGTGAGGTCAAGCCCTACTGGATCAACTGGGACGGATGCCAGTACTCCAAGGCTGGCCGCACGGACCGCGGTGTGAGCGCTTTTGGGCAGGTCGTTAGTATCAGGGTCCGCAGCACGCGACCAATGCGCAAGACGGATGCGCAGAACCCGGACACGGCTATGGAGAACACGGAGGAGGCGGATGACGGTTGGGATCATATCAAGGATGAACATCCTTATGTGAGCATGTTGAATAAGGTTCTTCCGCAGGATATCAGGGTCCTGGCGTGGTGCCCCAACCCTCCTGAAGGGTTCGATGCTCGTTTCTCCTGCCGAGAACGACACTACAAGTACTTTTTCACCCAGCCTGCCTTCTCTCCAACCCCTGGGCCTCTCGGATTAATGCCCCGTGCCAATGACGGAACGAACGCTCGTCCGAAGTACAGAGAGGGTTGGCTGGACATCGAGGCGATGCGCGAAGCCGCCAAATACTTCGAAGGCACACACGACTTCCGCAATTTCTGCAAGCTGGATGTTACCAAACAGATTGAAAACTTCTCCCGTGAGATTTTCCGCGCTGATATTGAACTGATTGATGCCAAAAACACCCCGCTGGGTTACGTCAACGAGCCAGAGTTTCGCGCCGTTGAGGGCGAGCAAGACACCGGATCATCCGTTGAGCCTACACCTACTGCTGCTAAGGTGTATGTCTTTCATCTAGAAGGATCCGCATTCCTATGGCATCAGGTTCGTCACATGGTCAGTGTCTTGTTCCTTGTTGGCCAGGGCCTCGAACCCCCAACCATTGTGCGCGACCTGCTAGATGCATCTAAAAACCCGCGCAAGCCCACTTATGAGATGGCATCTGACGCCCCTCTTGTCCTTTGGGATTGTATTTACCCTGACGAGCAGAGCGGTAGCCGCAAGGATGCGTTGGAGTGGGTTCATGCAGGCGATATCAGGCAGATCAAATCCCATCTCGGCAAAGGTGGCGGCAAGTTTGGTCTCGGTGGAATTGTCGAGGAGCTCTGGGCTGTTTGGAGACAGCGTAAGATTGATGAGATCCTAGCCGGCACGCTGCTCGACCTGGCTGTTAGTCAAAGAGATCAAACCATGATCTCTACCGGAGGAGCAAACCCTGTCTGGGAGCGGAAGAACAGAGGACAAAAAGTGTTCATTGGTGGCAACGATTCCAGAACAGGCGGTGATTATATTCCAGTCATGCACAAACGCAAGACGGAGCTCGTTGAGGTCCAGAATGCGCGGTGGTTGGCTACCAAACAACGAAAAACAGAGGCTGGTGCGAAGGCCTCCAAGATGGAGATGTAGATAAGATTAGTTTCTGTACTTACCCTGACATATCACATTTATGCGTTTAGCGACGCTTGAAGTCCCGCGCTTGCTCCTCACAGGAGTCTCTTTTTCTGAAACCCATGATGTTCACATTCTCCGCTTGAATCACGCTATGACTTGGAATCATACAGACATCGTCGGGAGCCTCTCCAGACCTCTTCTAGAATTTGTCGATTCGGAAGGAGGTTCTATCCGCTATCAATTAGGCGATGCCAAACACACATACGCTCCCAATTCAAACTCACAGGGAAAACCACGAGGACTTCCGTCTCCCCTTCGACAATTACAGCGAGATAGAAGCGAACCTCGAATCCCTTAAAAGCCTCATGGATCACAATATCCTGGATCTGTGTGGTAGGTATGAATCGCGTAGACGCTTTTGATAAGTACGTGCTGGAGGATGTCGAAGTCTGGATGCCCAGCCCGCGTATAACGAGGAGCGACTCTTCTGTACCGTAGCAATGGATGTTAGCACCGCTGGATGAGTCAAACAACAGCCGCACACATCGAACAAACCTGTGTATCCTTTTCTAAAGACACCATACATCACAATTGCACTGACCAGTCCCACAGCTGGGTAGCTGTACCTATCCGCGTAGCCACAAACCGAGGCGCCCAGCGGTGTCGACCATACAGCTGCCCAGGGGATCAATCGCGCTTCTTGGATGTAGGAAGAGTGTCGGAGTTTGGCGACATCAAGTAAGAGCACGCAGAAAAAGCTCAGCACCCGCAGCACAACTTGCAGGTAGAATAGAACTTTTGCAGGCGTGCTGGTATGTCTTGAGGCATTCGAAACGGTGAACGAGACGGTCGTCGGGGACGGGCGCCGTAGGATGAGGCGGCCTGGCATGGAGGGAAAACAATGCGATTGACTGGTGCCAACAGGTCACGGTTCAGTGATTCTTGATTGAGGTGCAAAGCCCGTATATTTATAGATGCCGAGTTTGAATTAATTTGAAGATTCTCATACTGATCTCTTTCGAGAGGAGTAGCAGACCTCAGGGCTAGTTAATAGTTAGCAGTAGTAGGTAATCTAGTCCCTGAACGGCTAAATGAGTTCCCTTCGGTTGTGTCGTACCGCATCACGTGCATCGTGTCGCACCTGCCAATGCCCGGTCTAGACCAACCACTTGTCTCACTGATTGCCCAACCTTGTGGCCTTATCAGTGAGCTGAGAAGCATTTTAAGGAGCTGGAGAGGGGTATGGGTCGTAAGAGGCTCATGCCAGTCAGGCGGCCTTAATAGACGCTGGGGCAGGACAGAGCACAAAAACCAGCAAGCTCCCAAGCAACTAAGGACTCCCCGGACGCATAACAAGAATGAATGGATTTGAGATAGAAATGAGATATTGATATCTTCATGATAACTCAAACTTGTACGGAGTACTTGAAATGAAACGATAAATCGAAGAGCTCTTTACTTCTCTACAGCCCATGGATTTTATTCTCTGCCAGCCTTCCGAGATGAACCATGAAGTTGAAAGCGTGTCCCGGAAACTGCCAGACAAGCTTGAAGGCATTTCTGAGAATATGTTGCAGCGCGAAAGCTCTTTCCGGAGTGGGAATGGGAGGGCAATGATGGATCTTGCTGGTCAGCGTCTCACGCGTGAGACTTGCTTATTGTAACCTTTGAGCAAGTCCCCGTTCTGTGTTTCCAATCCAAATGTACCTGTTTGTCCACGTATTACTTTGGTGAATATTCTTCTCAGATTACCTTTGAGCTGATGCTGACCAGATTGTCACAGGAGAACCAAGCATTACATGTGTTGTCCCGTCATATGACGTTCCCATGTGCTGCGATTCCTTCCATGCGGATGAATGATTGTGATGAGGGCCTAGCGTGATAGCTTGCAAGCGAAATGGGGTGGGCCGATTGAATCCCAGATACCTAGACTCAGGTTTAGGGGAATGCTGCTGGAGATTGAGAGTGCTTGTGCTGTGCACTCTTTCTGCAGCAGTGCTGTGAGGATTTCAGCTGCGATCACTGATACCCGTGTGTTTGATAATAACTAGTGGCCTATGCCATTCAGGCACTAAGGCATCAGCAACCTTGGAGGTCCGCCTCCAGTCCGATTCCGGGGTCACAGGCCCGGGTGTGATGAGTCATCACTGCGGGGCCGTTGGATTCGCCCGTGCTGGCAGGGCGGGACTAGCCGGAAGAAGGAAATCTGCAGCCTGAGGCTGCCCCCCGCCTGCAGCCTGAACCGACGGCCGGGTTCCACTCGCGGCAGAGGCATTTTTTTTTTCCTCGTCTCTATGGCCGATTCTCCACGAATCTCTTCCTATTCTCTCCTTCCTCCTTCTGATCTCGATGTCTGTTTTTCCTTCTCCATCCATTCGCTTGGAACCCATCCCTGTCCCTGATTCCCCGCCATGAGGTAGTTGCTTGTCCACTTCCATCGTCGAGATCTTTTGTTCTTCTCCCTGCTGCTCGAAGCCAGCGCTCTCCTCTCTTTGGTCGTGCTAATCTCACCCTTCGTCCCGCCCCTCCAGACCCGCCGACTCATCGGATATCTCCCCTCCCCCTCCGCAAACGATTCGGTCTTCCTCGCCTGTGATCTTGCAACCCACCGGATTTCCTGACGCTGCTCAGTCGACTCCTCAGAACAATATGGTGCGCAACATTGTCGTCATTGGGGGTACCTCCCACCCTCAGCTGACCCAAAACATTTGCAACGTTCTGGGTATCCCTGCGGCAGACGTCCTGCTGTCGAAATTCTCCGTCGGTGAGACCCGTGTCGAGATCAAAGAATCCGTCCGTGGCAAGGATGTCTACATCATCCAATCCGGTGGCGGAAAGGTCAATGATCTCTTGATGGAACTGCTCATCACCATCTCGGCCTGCAAAACCGCCTCGGCGAAGAGAGTCACTGCGGTTCTACCGCTCTTCCCATACTCTCGTCAGAGTGACATCCCGTACAACAAGACGGGCGCTCCGCTGACCAAGTCTTCTCTTGCTAGCAAATCTGGCAATGGCTACACTTTTGAAAGTACCCCGCCTACCCCACACCCGGGGAAGCCCGAGAGCTGCAGTCTGCTCAACGGTGTGGACAACCTTCAGAAGAGCCTGGCCAAGGCTCAATTGGAAGATATCAGCAACGGTAGCCCGGTGAAGAGACAACGTCCAGTCAATGGTCTGCCCCGCAGTGACACCATGGACTCTCTGCCCTCTCTTCATAGTGGAAGCGTCGCAGAAGAGGAGGCCAACAAGATCAACAACTTCCAGCCCCGTCCGGGCTACAAGCAGTGGGTGGCTCAGGCAGGCACCCTGGTTGCGGATTTGCTCACTTGCGCTGGTGCCGATCACATCATCACCATGGATCTTCACGACCCTCAGTACCAGGGATTTTTCGACATCCCTGTCGACAACCTTTATGGCCGACCCCTGCTGAAGAGCTATATTCAGCGCAATATCCCCAACTACAAACAGGCTGTCATTGTCAGTCCTGATGCCGGTGGCGCTAAGCGGGCCACCGCGATCGCCGATTCGATGGGCGTTGAATTCGCCCTTATCCACAAGGTTCGTTCAATTCCGGTCTTCTGATGTCGCACTTTATCTGATTCCCTGCAGGAGCGCCGCCCTACACGGATCACAGATCGCCAGAATGCCACCATGATGCTGGTCGGTGACGTCAAGGATCGGACCGCTATTCTGATTGATGACCTGGCGGACACCTCCAACACCATCACCAGAGCGGCGAAGCTTCTGAAGAGGGAAGGAGCTGCCCGAGTCTATGCGTTGGTGACGCACGGTATTCTGAGTGGCGATGCGATTGATCGCATCAATGCTAGCGCTTTGGACAAGGTTGTTGTCACCAACAGTGTGGACCAGGCGGACCACCTGCGCAGATGCCCCAAGCTGGAGGTTTTGGAGGTTGGCCACGTCTTTGCCGAGGTAATATACCTTTCGAGGTGTTTAATGTACAAGGAACTAATTTCGTTCTATAGGCCATCCGTCGCGTTCACCACGGCGAGAGTATCAGCGTTCTCTTCCAGTACGACTAACGGATCTGCCGTCACGGGTTTCTTATTATGTTTTATCTATTCCATTTCTTCTTTTTTGTGTGTGACGTCCATACAAAGTAAATCATAAACTTGTTGGGAGAATATGAAGAGCGACGAAATCTTGGGTCATCTTCCACGGATTGCTTTTATCATTTTGCTTTGACATCGGCTTAAGTGCCCTTCTGGTTCTTGAACGCTTAGGGGACTTCTTGCTATTGCATATCATCGCTGGCTGTGCATTTTCTTTACCAAAAATATATCGAAACTCCAGTTGCCAAAAAGAAGCGGGCTAGAAAACATGTCATGCGTCTAGTCCCTGGCATAAGGTGTTGGCTACCCTCCTACATGGCCTTGCGTCTGTGTCCATTATATCTGCCATTTTTGTCAACCCGTCTGCTTATTTCTTTGTCTTTGAGGAGTTTCTTTGCTTTTTTTTCGTTTTTACACCGTCATATGTCCGCCCCTGGTATGATGTTCAGGGAGCAGGTGAGTCCATATGCATGAACATATATCCAACAATCATCATGAGAACTTCGGCCATGAGTTTGAAGTAACGAGAATCTATCAGATCAATTCATTTTTTTTTCGCTCTTGCACCAGAGCAGGGAATCATTACGTTTGTCCTTTTGGAGATAATTGACCTTATCTACATGGTCTTTGTAGTTGGTCCTTTTCCAACGACTTGAAAAAGTTAGTCTCAGAAACATTACTGGCATGGTATCGGTGTATATCTGTTTGCGTATAAATACCTACCGCGCTGACATGCCACACGCTACATGATATCCTCAGAAAGTGTTGATCGTGCCGCAAAGAAGCACGTGCCGCCCTTTAGAGCCAAGCCAAGATGGGCAGCGATGCAGCTCCACGAGACGAGAGAAATTCGACGATTGGAAGATACTCTATAGGACCGAGTCCGCCCGTTTGACTAGAGATAGCAGCGGAGAGAAAGCAAAGACAGAAAAGGCGACGCCTCACTTCGAGCATAAGATACAAGGGATCAAAAGTTACTAACACACGAACCAATTGCGAAAGGAGCATGGAGTATATTTTGGGCGCGGGAGAGATGGACAAAAGGGAGAGAGAGATGAAAGGGATAGGGACCCAGAGGATAGATCAATATAGGGAGGCTTTAAACAAGACGGCTAAAAAAAGTAAAAGGAAGAAACATGGTATCTAGAAAACAGAGATAAAGTTCCCGATCCTCTCTTTCTGATTTTGCGCAATACACTCGGCGATCCAGGTGACGTTTCGGATTTCCTGATTCGGGATGATTAGCTGAATAAGTCCACGCAAGAATGGTTGGGTCATTGTCTTACCTGCTCCTTCAATCTCATCCACCCATATACCACCGCAGGCGTGAACTGCCGCGTGAACACCACCTTGCACATCTCCATCTCCTTCTGGTAGAACAGATCCTCCAAGCTCTTCCCGTCCGAGGCGCCGCCCATGCCACCCAGGCCGCCGCCGCCCTGCGTCAGGCCAACCGTATCGAAGAACGCCTTGTAATCGGCGGAGATGCTCACGGCGAGGGCGACGGACTCGATGTCATCCGCCCGCGAGAGCATCAGCGACCCCTCCGGCCAGAGCTTGCCGAACTCCGGGTACAGCTTCCTCCGCTCCTGCTTCGACAGCTCCGTGCCGAACGAGTTGAGTGTGATATTGATCGCCCGCCGATCGGCCTCGAACTGCAGGATCTCCGACATGACCTCCTGGGTCGGAGTGCCCTTGAAGTCCGGGTGTGTGGTGACGAACTGGTGGAAGTCCTCCAGATAGTTCTTGTAGAGGGTGTTGCGCACGATCTCGATGTTGAGCTCGTCCAGATCCTGGTGGCTCAGACTCCCCTTGAAGTACCCGGCCAGGGGCGTTTCGATCAAGACGGAGTTGTACAGCTCTTCGATGTTGGTGGCGACACAGAGGACGGGCAGGGTCTCGAACCAGCCTAGCGGATGGCACCGTTCCAGGAGCTCGCGGGTGTCTCGTTCGTGCAGGGTACCGGTAATGAGCAGGGCGATGTTGTCGATCATGTACCCGTAGGTCAGGTACCGCAGGAACTTTTCCGTCGACCCCGTGGCCTGCGCGAGGAGATAGCGGAATTCAGCAACCAGCTTGTCGGTCATCTTGCCTGCCAGGGCGGAGGTCGATGGGTTCGGGGGGAGAGCGGCGAGGAAGTCGCCATATGCGGGGGCGAGCTGGAGCTTGACATCTGCGGGCAAGAAAGAAGACGCTGTGTGAGATTTTCGATTGTGCTCGTGAGGGAGTCAGTTTGAGAGCAACGGACCATCGATCGATTCGCACTGAGTCAAGTTCGAGTAGTGTTGGCTAGTCAGAAGGCTGTTCCGATACCCTCGGGCAATGCCCTCAATGTAGCTGATCAGGACAGTTAGCCAGGGGAGATCCGGGGGGGTTTTTGGAGAAACATTTCGAGTGACATACCCGCTCTTGACGTTGAAGAAAAGACCCTCCATTATGGTCGGAAGTGCACGAGTCCTCAAGCTGCCTCTATATCGTCAAATGGGGAAGAGTCGAAGCAGATTGGAGCACTTGCTGGTATGGATTGTCGCTATCTCAGTCGACGTAAACCATAATCCCGTGACCACGCCCGGATGGGTCTCCCTTGTCGCCTAAGGTTACATAAGCTGGCTAGACAGTGTGTCGAGTGCACCTCGCACCGCCACCTGCGGGCACCAGCCACAGTCCGCACGGCGTTTTCGCTTTTTTCACTTTTTGGTGTCGAAAAATTTCCCAGCGATTGCAATCCTCGTCCAGCACGCGGTTTCGTCCCCCGTCGCCAACTTACGCCAACCCCTCCCTCTTAATTCCGACCCCCCCTCGCCCCTCGCCCCTCGCACTTCTAGCTGGTGCTTTTTTTTGCCCGTTTTGTTTGTTTCGTTATCACAGCTAGACGTCGAGAGCCTACATCATGACGCTCTTCATCCTCACGGAGACCAGTGCGGGCTATGCCCTGCTCAAGGCCAAGGACAAGAAGCTCCTGAAGAGAGACGACCTCACCACTGAGGCTGCTACCGCAGAGGGTGTTTCTAACCTGTAAGTCGTTCTTGCCTTGGGATTTGATGAACCTGCTGCAATTACATTGGAGTGATCTCATGCAAAAAAATTTTCCCCTCCGTGCGCCGACCGTACGTCTAACTTGCGCAACCTAGTTTGAAATTGAAGAGCTTCCAGAAGTTCGACAGCGCCGCGACTGCCCTGGAGGAAGTTGCTGCTCTCGTGGAAGGAAAGGTTACTCCCCGCCTGGCCAGCCTCTTGGACGAAGTCAAGGATGAGAAGAAGGTCTCTCTGGCTGTTTCCGACCCCAAGCTCGGTATGTGCTCTTCCTTGCCTTTGATGGCGAACTGGGGAAATGTCAATTATACTGACTCGGAATATCACAGGAAACGCCATTGGCAAGCTTCCTGGCCTTTCCATCGAGTTGGTTGCCGACTCCTCCACCACCGACATCTACCGTGCCATCCGTGAACACCTGCCCACTCTCATCCCCGGCCTTCTTCCCCAGGATATGTCCACTATGGCCCTGGGTCTGTCGCACTCTCTTGCTCGTCACAAGCTCAAGTTCTCCCCCGACAAAATCGACACCATGATTGTGCAGGCTATCGGTCTGTTGGATGATTTGGACAAGGAACTCAACAACTACGCCATGCGTGTTAAGGAATGGTACGGCTGGCACTTCCCCGAGCTGGCCAAGATCCTGAACGACAACATCGCCTACGCCAGACTCGTCCTGAAGATGGGCATGCGCACTAACTGGGAGACTGCCGATCTCGCCGAGATCCTCCCCGAGGAGATTGAGGGTGCCGTCAAGGCCGCCGCTGATCGGTCCATGGGTACCGAGATCAGCCAGGAGGACTTGGAGCACATCCAAGCTCTGGCCGAGCAGGTCGTTGGCTTTGCCGAATACCGTCAGCAGCTGGCTGGCTACCTCACCGCCCGTATGAACGCCATCGCCCCCAACTTGACTGCCCTTGTCGGTGACCTCGTCGGTGCTCGTCTCATTGCCCACGCCGGTAGCTTGACCAACCTGTCCAAGAGCCCTGCTTCTACCCTCCAGATTCTGGGTGCCGAGAAGGCCCTGTTCCGTGCCTTGAAGACCAAGCACGATACTCCCAAGTACGGTCTGATCTACCACGCCTCTTTGATCGGCCAGGCCACTGGCAAGAACAAGGGTAAGATGGCCAGAGTGTTGGCCGCCAAGGCCTCCCTGGGTCTCCGTGTGGATGCCCTGGCCGAGTGGGATGACGATGCCACCGAGGAGGACAAGGCTGCCCTCGGTACCGAGGCCCGCTACAACCTCGAGCGCAAGTTGGCCGCCATGGAGGGCAAGCCCCTCAAGCCCCGCGGTGTGGCTATCGCCCCCAACGGCGCCGCCCAGCCCCAGAAGTTTGACCTCAACGAGGCCCGGAGATATAACCCCGATGCTGACGCTCTGACCGGCGACGAGCCCCCGGCTTCCGCCAAGAAGAGCAAGAAGGACAAGAAGCTCGTTGAGGAGGTCGAGGACGAGGAGATGGCTGATGCCGCTTCCGACGACGAGGGAGACTCCTCCGACGAGGACTCCGAGGAGGAGTCCTCCAAGAAGAAGAAGAAGAGCAAGGACTCCGAGCTCGAGAAGCTGGCCGAGCAGGCCGGCCTGAGCGTCAAGCGGTACAAGCGTAAGCTCGAGCGGGGCGAGATCCAATTCGACGCCGAGGGCAAGCCCAGCTCTGTCAGCAAGAAGGACATCAAGAAGGCCAAGAAGGACGCCAAGAAGGCCGCCAAGGGCGAGGAGAAGAAGCGCAAGCGCTCCGACGACGGCGAGGAAGTCGACACCAGCGACAAGAAAAAGAAGAAGAAGAGCAAGAGCAAGAGCGACGAGTAAAGGGGACGAGCCAAGATTTTTTTTTATAAAAGAGAAAAAAGTTCTTCTTTCCTCACCCCACCTTCTAACGGATGGCTACGCTTCGAGAGATGTTTCCTTGTATGATATCACACACATCTTTTGTGTCTCGTTTCCTATTGTCCTTTTGCTATTTGAGTTGAAGTGTTATATTGTGTGTTTGGGTGGCATTTCCAAAGAACGGATGGAAGCATTTTTCACATCCTATCCCATGGCGCAGAGGTGCTTTTTTTGGTCAAGGCAGTTCGAATTCCAGGAATAATGTTAACTTCAGAAAAAAAATTTTGTGCTGTACGAACGTAGTATGTATGAGTTTAGATCGCCTTGGTTGGTACCTGTCGAGGGACCACAGGCAGTGTCCCTTACATAGAGAGTATTCACGTCGCGATAGAGTAGGATACAGAAAGGGAGGCAGGAAGTCGATGGGCATAGCATCGCGTACAGCACCATGTCCTTTTCAAAACTATGGAACTTTTTAGAAGATAAACCAGAAGAGCTGCATCTAATCATCACAGCATCCTACACACGAATCCCTAGCGCGAGGAAGAGAAAAAACAAAGGCAATCGTCATTTTGCCCACATACCACCCGTTGGCGCGGATGTTTCAGCCCACACCGACCACCAGAGCACCCACCATAGTACATACTTGTCCGGATGGAGATTGAAGTATCCCCGTGGAGGAACGAGGCGTCGTGTTGTGAGCAAGATATATGTTTCCCCAGTAGCGGACTGCCAGGTAACATGAGACAAGAGGTACATCAGAATCTGTGTGGTCTGAGCGAGTAGCGATGAAGTAGCTCTCGTCAAGATAGATGCACTCATCTAACTATACCGATATGCATGAGCTTGCAGAAAAGTCTAGATCATGTACTTCCAGCATCGCTGACTGCCGATTTAAAGTTACGGGTTAAGGCTTGGGCGGAGTGGTTGTGCAGCCACCACGAGCGGGACTCGGGAAGGGGACTTGGTTGGGTGCTGCTCTGGACCATATACACATTGGACGATTGGGTTTCAGGAGAATGTGCTGTCCCTTGTAGGTACAGTACAGTTACGATGGAAGCCTTCGGGAGTCGAGAAATCCATAACTATATAGCAAAGCTAATGTCTCATTACTCGTATCGACTCCGTTGATAATCTATACAATAAGCATTCGAGTGTCTATCGCCTCTCAAGAATAGGCGTTTTTCTCGACTCCATCTCCCTTGAACACCAGACTCAATGGTGAGCCAGGATCTTGGCCACAGCAGCCTCGGCCACGACCATAATGGTGGCCTGGATGTTGCCGGTGGGAAGGTCGGGGTGAATACTGCCGTCGACAATGTACTGCACGCGAGAATGATCAGCAAACGTTCTTCATGTTGCAGAGAGAAATCACATACCAAGTTGTCCATTCCATAGACCTTCGTGTTGGTATCAACGACGGAGGTACCGTTCCCGTGGCGGCCGTCGTCCGTGCCCATCTTCGCGGTGGTCGTGTAGTGCATACCGGTGGTCGGGTTGGCTAGGATGGAAGAGACGTTGGTGTTGGCCTCCAGTTGGAAGCCGGTGGAGGGGGCAGTCAGGTCGGCGACCAGACCCTGGATGAACAGCTTGGCCGCAGCGCGATCGCCCGCGGTGTTCATCCAAGGGGTCTGCTCATAGACGGTGTTACCGTCAGTATCCAGTCCAAGGATACCGGAAGAAGTGAGACCGTGGGTCATGTAGGTCGTCAGGGTGACTTCGTTCTCGCCAGTGGGCGCGCATGATCCTTGGTAGTACCGGGTCTGACCGTCGACCACATTGGAGGAGAAGAAGATCAGCCGGTGCTTTCCTTGGGTCAGCACACCGTCGCCCTTGGCATAGAGACTAATGTCGGCGGTATCAGTGCCGTTGTAGATCCCGGTCCAGTCAAGCGGGCCGTACGTGCCTTTGGTCTTGACGACGATGGTGAAGATGGGATGGTCCTTGAGACCTACACCGACGGGGAGGTTGATCCATTCGTTCTTGGGTGGGACGATGACACCGCTCTTTTGAGCGGTCTCGATCTGAGACTGAGGTCCGATGCCCGAGTTGAACAAGAGGCGAGGTGTTGAAAGGGCGCCCGCAGACAGGACGACTCTGCCGTTGGCGGCCAGTGTGATGTTTTCCAGACGACCGGAGGCGTTCTCGACCTCGACTCCAGTGGCCTTGCTACCGGAACGGAGTACACGAGTCACCTTGGACCCAAGCTGAAGTTCAAAGTTGTTATGCTTCTCAGCAAGGGGAAGGTAGGTGCGGACCGGGCCCGCACGCTTCTGGTCCTTAAGGTTCCAGGAAGGGTAGCTGTAGACCTGGTGTTTCTGGTTGGGCTGCGAGATCATGTTGACGGCTTTCCAACCGATGTTGCTGAAGAAGTTGGAAAGCACAGTATAGAGCCCTTGATCGTAGCGCTTGCCATCGGCAGAGGGCAGGATAGTTCCTGGGTTGCGCTCGTAAAGCCTATCGGCAGCAGACTTGACATCGCTCCATTTCCAACCCTGGGGCCACTTGTCGTCGAAGTCATGGTCCGGTGGGTGCACGAAGACCATGTAGTTCACAGTGACACCGCCACCGAGAACACAGGCTGCAGTCCCAGCAGTATCGGTGCAGACATACTCCTCCCACTCAGGTAGAGCACCAATGTCGGCAGACAAGCCTGGCACATCGACTGGGGTCAAGTTCTTGTTCCAAACAAGCGTGTCATTGGCACCCGTAGCCACAGTCGGACCGCGCCCTCGCTCTAGCAGGAGGACTTTCTTGTTGGCCTCGGCCAGACGCTCGGCGGTAATGATGCCGGAAGGCCCTCCACCGACGACGATGTAGTCATATGCATTAGCCTTTTCAACAGTGTGTGCATGCGGCGAGCCAGCGACTCCGAGAGCGGAGCCGATGGCAACCAGTCCTCCAACAATAGCAGAGCGCATATCGACTAACTCAAAGGCGTTGTCAAGGATGAAGTCCAGTCAGAGGGAGATCAGGCAGCATAAGACGTCAATTTATAGTTCCCCAGAGCGGGCTATTGTCGCATGGGTTTTCAGGTGTACACTGCCGGGAGGCTCGCCATCATTACCCGAGCGTGGCCCGTCATCTCGATCCGCATCACTGCGTTGAATCAGTTCTGGGAACCTTCATCTCAAGGAAAACTTGAATCCCGGTTCCGTAGTCAAGCAAGCTTCAAGAGTCGAAACCCGTCCATTTCCGACGTTCGGGCAGTTTGAACACGGTCCGGAGGTCCACTTGTGCAATATACATGGAAAGACCCTCATCCACGAGGGAATTTTTTATCTGGATTAGGCAAGTTATGTCGCAGATCAGTCGAGGTCCCTCGTCGAACGAGCCCCTCGCGAGGAAATGGGCGCAGTGGGCTTGAGCATTTGCCGTGGGGTGCAGGAAATTATCTAGAGTTCCATCTAATCATGGGCGTTGAAGGTTAAAAGCGGGTCCTAGAAGATGGACGGCCGACTAGAAACCACCGGTTGGATTGCAAAGATCTGACAAATTCAGGTTCAGGGGACAAGAGTGGACTCGCGAATATCCTCATCTGCTGCACAACGGCTCGTCTTCTATCACTAAGCAGTGCAAACTCCGAGAAGAAGCGAATTCTTGCTAATGAATCCCGCATATTCAGACCCTTGTGCTGTTCAGGAACGGAAGACATGGAGTCTGCTTCACTGCTTTTTTTCAGGAACGCACCCTGAAACGACAGCATCCAAGTCGATCTCGATGGAGCATGATGTCTTGCCAGGTCTGGCGTGTGAGTAGATGATCGGACCGATTGGTGTGCGGGCCAATTTCGGCCACGGGTCTCAGTCTGCGAGGGCTGTCTGCAGGAACGGAATCATGGACCCGCATCGGCCCCATTTACCTGAAGCTCAGGGTGTTTGCGAGGTGCTCGCTTGGTTTAGGCAAGGTCTGCTGCAGGACGGAGCATAACAAAGACTATCACTGCATAGCAAACCGTAAGGTAGGGAAGTATGTATCAAGGTGAATCACGCTGGGCTGTTAGTGCCACACTAGAAACTGCTAAGCTTCCATCATAGCTGCATAAGATCAACTGCCTAAGGGGGCAGACAGGCATGTTGCGCACGTGTTGCCAGGTTTCTAGTCAATATCTGCAGGATGGAATAAGCTTAGAATCACAGGTGGATACACAATGGAAGAAAAATGATACAAATGAGATTCTGCTCAAGAGATTGTCTGAAGTGCAAGTCGTAGCAGCACTAGATCCTCCGCAGGTCAGGCGCCTGACCCTGGAGCATTGGAAACAGTCCAGACAACCCGACTCACCGACCGCTCTCAGCCTCAGGCAAGCACAGTCATCACCGCCCTCATCAACCGGCAGAATCGCTCCTCTCCGCCCCGCATCTCCAGCACTTTTTTTCCGCAACATTCGAACCCCCTCAAACCAAATCTAGAATCAATTCCCAACCAGCCAATTCCCAAATCAACAAAACATGAGGGTGAGCCCAGCCGCCTGCATCGCCCTCCCTCCCTCCCAACAAAAACACAAAACTAACACACCCACCTAGATCATCGACCCCCAATCCGCCGTCCTCTCCAACATCGAGGTCCTAGCCTACCTAACAGCCAACCCGCCGCGACGACCTCCCAACCCGCCGCCCAACTCCCGCCACTGGGTTCCCAGCCCGGATCTCCGCGACCACAATACCGTCGTCAAGGAGGTAGGCCTATACACTCCGTCATTCTAGCCCATGACCCCATGACCCCACGACCCCATCCCCAAAACAGATAACTAAACCCTCTCGAACCCAGATCCACAACTACGTCTCGCGCCTCTCCCCGCACCTCCAATCCTACCCGCAATATACGCACATCCCGCTCGCGGAACTCGAGGCGCAGGCGCACGCGCACGCCAACCTCCACAATACCAGTAACAGCAACAGCAACAGCAACAAAGATACCGGCTCGGCGGCGCCCCCGACGCTCCTGCCTCCGAAGCTCCTCAACAAGCCGACTCCCGTCGACCGTGCCCTCCGGGACCTCGTTACCCGGCTGAAACCCTATGGGCTTACGAAGGGCGAGGTGCTCATGATAGTTAATCTGGGGATTGGGTTGATGCCGGCTGCTGCGGCTGAGGAGGGGGAGGAGGAGGGGGAGACGGAGGAATATGAGGAAGAAGTGGTGGAAGAAGAGGGTGGTGCGGAAGAGGAGGGAGAGCAGCCGGAGGAGATGGAGGTGGATGGTGGGGCTACCAATGGGGGGCAGGATGCTGCTGGTGCTGGTGGTGAGAATGGGGAAGCGGGCAGTGGAGAGTTGGCAGAGGAGGATTACGGGGCTATGGCTCTGTTGGATACCGTTATCGAGGAGCGGGAGGAACGGTTGAGTGAGGCGGATGTGGCGGGGATTTTGACTATTATTCGGGAGACGTTGGGAGGAGGTGCTGCGGCTGCGGCTGCGAGTTGAGGTTGATTGATGCTTTAAGGTACAGACTTGGAGAGGGAAAGTATTGGTAGTGGATTCTACATATATACCCGTGATGCTTGACATGATAGGCATTTCTTGAAACAGATTCATATAATCTGACTTTACTGATGTTTTTTGCATTAGCTTGAATGGGGGAATGAAATTAAGGCATGCTCTATCTATCTATACAAGATTGGTATCTCTGGTGAGTTATATGCAGTGGCTACTGCTTCCGCGCAGTCCAAGTGAGGACGCTAGCCATTTCAAAGTGGCTGCTCTAAAGGCATGCCACGTTTCACAGCGAAGCAGACAACATAATTCGCTAATTCAAATAAGGAAAGCCCAACACCGTGGGATTATATGCACAGCCATGACTCATGACCGGACTATTGCTGCGCTCCGTGGCGCCAATCGCGTAATATGTGCAACGAGAATCGATCACGCCTGGCGACTACATGAATCGTCAGCCAGCACGCATCTCATCCGCCTTTCTGTGGGCTCGGACCTCAGAAAACCAGTCTCTGAGATCCAAGAGGAGCGGTCTACCACGGGTTAGAGGCCAGATCCTCTTTACCCTTGATAACATTCCCGAACTGGTTGTAGACGGGCTCGTCGGCATCCTCTCCATTCTCCTGGCCAAATGGCCCAAGATCATCGTCGAACACATCCCTGGTATAGCTACCGCAAACCTCGCCATAATTGAGCCACTCACCCTTGTCCGTCCACAGGCCTCCCTTGCCGCCACGCATGTCCCACCATTCTTGGCCGCCCATCAAGGCAGACTGAGAGGCGTCAAATCCAGAGCTGGTGCGCATGTACTTGCGGAGAAGTGCCCGGGCCCATGGCTGGTACCACATCTCCGACCACCATTTGTCACGAACAGATTTATCCCCGTCGAGATGTAGCAGAGCTGGGACAGATGCCGAATGGATGTTTGTCATCAATGGAAGATCACGCCACGTGTGGTTGCGATAATTTGGCAGCTTGTCCAGTGTAGCATTCCAAGGGGGGTTTGGCCAGTCATCCTTCGTAAATCGGGGCTGAACAAATGGATTGCCGAGTTTCACGGGATCAAGGTCTTCGGGAAGCATGAGACGTCTCTCTCTGGGCACGCCATGCTTCATCTGCACCGCTGAAGTCGTGCTCACGTTGTGATAGTGGAGCCATTCGACATCCATCTTGGCGTTGAACATGTTGAAGAACAAACGGGATTCATAGTCAACCCCGATGCCATACTCATACCGAGTGCCCGCTGTCAAGCGTGGCGGGATGGCTCCAGTGAGATTTGACGCATCCGAGATGCCGATCCGGCGATAGAGCCATTCTTTCAGCCTGCTGGCGCTGTTTCTTCGTTCCAGCTCGCGTAAATATTCCTGGCGCCCAAACATCTGGGTCATCGCCAGATAGTCTCCCCGCGAGTTGCGGTGCTGATGGACGTAATGCAATATCTCGGCGTATATGAGCCGTAAGTCACCCACCTGGCCCATGACTGCGCCAGGCTTGAGCCACCGTGGTCGATTCAAGTGTCCTTCCGTGTCGGTCTTCCAACCGTAAGCATCAGGAGGCAAACTCGATTGCGGTACCGTCACGCAACCTGGATCCTGAGAATGACTCGATATACACGTCTTGCTAGCGGCAAACAAGACTCTCTGAGAGTATTTTTGCAGAGTCTGTTTGCCTTCTTTACGAAAGGGCAGGTCCAGGGTTATGGTGCCGTATTTGCGTAGCAATTTCTCGTTGGTCTCCCGTAGCAGGTCCTGAAAACGCTGAACCAACACCTCTGCAGGCAACTGGAAAAACACATCCTGCGAGTCGACAATGAGGACCAGATCATCGTCATTCAACTGTGTGCTGTATGCGAGGTAATTGTATATCCCCGCGATCCTGTCTACCATAGCGGAGTATTCTGTACTCCCGTCCGAAGTGGACTTTCCGTAGCTGATCAGGGTCGGCGGTGGGTAGTTCAGGATCATCGACGACGTCACGGTGCGACAGAGCGAAGCTGATTTGTGCGACACGGGTATAAGGAGGTGAAAGGACGGCGCCGACCTTCCTAGGCCCAGAGGGGCGGTCTCGTTCTTATTCATGGCATGTCGCCCACTAAGGAGCATTGGCGTATCTTCAGGGCGCTGTCGCGTCGGAGGGTAGGATGGGTACTTTACCCAGAAGTTAATCGATGGCTAGCAAGGAATCCTAATCAGCAATCGGGTTCATTCTAGCGCAGGAGGCAATGTACCTACATCGCTGGATGAGCGCGACCATAAGGTGAGCAAGAAAAAACATGCTGCGAATAGAAAGAAGGTCCTGATGGGACGAGCTCTTAAGCGACGAGGGTGGAGATGTTGCAGCCAGAATGAGGATGCGGACGACCGCATATACTTGTATTGATCGGCCCATTGGCCGTCAAGAATGCCTCGACTTGACATTCTCGCGGTCGCTCAGCGCGAAATAAGAAATGCTTCACCAGGGGGTGGTGTGAAGAACCACCGCTCACTAATGGCGATAGGCAATCGGATTATGTTGCCAGTTCGTATCGGTTGGGGCCAGAGCAGGGGAAATCAGCCAGTGTTCAGAATTATATACCGGGCGATGAACATTCCTGCAGGCGGAACGTGCAACCACTGAGCCAGAGCCAGGGTAGAAAGGTAACCGGGGAGGGAGCAATTTTAAGAGGCAAATCAACAGAGGTCGCAAAGAGCCATGATGGAGCCGGGGAAGAAGGTGGAGATGTGGGACGGCAAGCCAATGGTGAGCACGGCACTCAAAGGATGATGGTGACCAGCGCAACAACGGGGAAAAGATCCATACGATAGGAAATGAAAGGAGGAGTCGCAAAGAGTCAGAAGGAGGGGGAATCCGAGGCGGGGGCGGCGGAGGAAAAAGAAGTAGGTGAAGAAGAGGCAGACGAAGAAGAAGAAGTTCTTTAGTCGAAGACCGGTCGAACACAGGTCTAGTCCGAGCGATGTTTAAGTTTAGTTAGTCAATTGAGGAGTGGAAGTGGTGACTTTTACGTTGCCTGCTGGGGGGGGGCCGTCAGGGACTGGAATCACTGGATAAAGTCGCTCGGGTATTGATTGGCGGTCGCTTTTCTTCTCTGCCCCGGTGGGGGGTGGAAGTTCCATTCATTGTTCAATCCACTGCCAACTTTCTTTTTCTACCCATCTTATTCAAGTACCATCTTATTGTTCCAACAACATAAGCTTGAGCTTGTACAAGAGTTGGACAGGTTACTGTTGTCACGAACTCTCTAAGATCGTCTTGCCCCTGAACTGATCAATCTGTAATGAGTAATCATCTCTGTACAACATCCTGTCTACTCATCCAGATATCTATCCCAACAACCATTCTCTGGGCGGTGCCGCGTCATCAGCCCTGCGCATCCATGCTCTCGTTGCTTCTCTCGGTCCTCCCGCAGTCTTGGCAGCAGTCGCATACTCGTTTCACATTAGGTGTCCCTCTCTGAGTACGTCGCTCTCTGACGTTTCCCAATGCGTAACTCCACAGATATGGTCTGTTCTGGGAATAGACGATGAAGCTCTCAACCGAGCTAGTTGGGGAATCCAACCTATGGTTCACGGACACAGCAGCAGGTGAGCAGCAAATGCGCAATGCTGGGGAACTTAAGCCTTTCTCTGCACGGGACGCTAAGAGCTACCAAGCCTTCGAATGGCGCAAGCCTGAAGAGGGACCATCCGCCGCCCTATCACACAGTCTCCCGTGCAAGCAGCAGCATTCCCGAGTCGAGTCTTACCCCTCCCTTTCCCAACATGGAAGAGGGACAATGGACAGCTGAGATAGATATTCATTCCAAGAATCTCCGCACCAGTGACATGCAACAGACCGAGTGGTTAGTAAGAAGCTTTGCTTCTACTTGCTGGGACATAAATATGCTAATGATTAATTGTAATCTCTATCATCTCATTCAAGATAGATCTCCTCTCGTAACCGCTGCAAGTTGCGGAAGATGCCACCGGCCGGGCCTTCGCTCTCCTGCCGTCGGTGGCCCGCCGACTGTGCTTTGGTAGAGGAGCCGGAAGCTTGCTGCGACGAGTCCGCTCGGCTCTGGCTCTCCAGAGCTCTGCGACGATCCTCAACGATTTTCGCCAGGCTGTCCACCGCGCGAGTCCGAGCCTTCTCCTCGGCCGTCCCCTTCCAGACCAACGCCAACGTCCGCAGCGCCTCGACCCGGCGCGACGCAGCCTCCACTCCCTCCAGACCGCCACCATTGCTCTCCAGAAGGCCCGTCACCTCCGCCCGCAGTCGCCTGGCCGCCTCCTGCCCCTTCTCCTCCCGACTTTGATTCTCCGGCCCGGCCTCTGGCGCCGACACTGAGATGAACGACGAAGCCAGGGAGGTCTCCGACGGCGGGATGGGCCACTCCATCGCGTCCCCGAACGTCTGCACGACCTCCTCCAACCGAGCCCGCACCTGATTCAGCATACGTAACTTCGTAATGAACTCCGGGTCCTGTATCGTAGCAGCTTCTGCCTCTGCTTCTGTCTCCTCGGCCTTGCCATCCACATCCCCCGCTCCGACATCGACAGCTTCGGGGTCACGATCGTGGCCCTCCCCCTTATCTACCAACCCCTCCGGGTGGCCCTCCGGAACAAACTTAGCGATATCCCCACGTAGCGCCTCCGCAAGCGTATCCGACAGCGCGATCGTCTCGCCGCGCAGCACCTCCACCTCGTAGGCCAACCGACTGCCGCCCCGTAGGATCTCATCGGTCAATCGCGTGAGCGTGCTCGAATGCCGGACATTGTGCGCGCTGATCTGCGAGAGAACGGACTGGATTTGAGTGGACATCTCGGGCAAGCCGGCGGTCGCCCCTCGGGGATTGCTGCTGCTGTTGATCGACTGCGAAGACGCCAGCGTCAGGGCAGGGAGTGCATTGTTGAGGTATTCGGCGGGATCGAAGGACGGGTCGGTGAAGTCGGGGTTGAGGTTCTGCTCGAGGGACGGTCGCGCGCTGGCTTGGGGGGGCGCTGGACTGGGGGTCTTGGAGGGAGCCATGTTGGCTTGACCTTCGCTGGTTTTTTACTCTTTTTTTCAGTCTGGGATCCTCTGGGCGGCGAATCTATCGGTTGATTGTGCGCTTGTTTTCATCGGCGGGCTGCCAGTGGTGACAAGATACCAAAAGTAAGGGAGCTGAATAATTGGCTATGAGAATTTGAGGACAAGGGAGGGGGGGTTGCGGGATTGTCGCCGTTCCCCATACAAATACCTCCGCACTCGGCCGCACACCGCCTACGGCAGTATGCACTGTACTGTACACCAGTGTGGGAAATATATCTTGAATTACCTTTTCTGTGGTTCTAGAAACATGGATCTCTCTGATACCGCTTCTAGTTTACTGAGCTTTCAACTTAGGTAAAGTACGGTGGTAGCTGCGATGATAAAACCAACATCGAGCTAGTCTCGATTGGAGCACAATAATATTATCAGGTCAAGGATATTAGCAAAGCGATAGCAGAAACTATCAACAAAGAAGGTCAAACGCATTCCGGGAGTATCATAAGCAAAAGCGAAAACGAGGGTGGGTATCGTTATAATCATCCGCAGATGAATGCAAACTGCAGCATCCATGTGAAAAGCACAATGTAGCAGCAGCAACGCCGTCTTAGAGAACGTCATGGGCAAGATCCAAACATGTCCAACCACGCGACATCTCCATCAAACTCATCATTGTAAGCATTAATTTCCGCCATATCACAGAAAACAATGCCGTGGTGCTTAGATATTCTCGACCACACGTGCATTCATTGCACGCTGAAATCCATCTTCGGCTTGTTGTCCATATCGGCTTGGCCCCTCCCCAGCATTTTCAGCTGCTGCAAGCTGCTGCTGCACTGTCTGGTTCATTGCTGGGAGAAAGATGACCTTGCTGTTGGCCGTCTTGGCCATGGCTTGCATCGCCTCAAGGTAGCGGATTTGCATAGCAGGAGCCGAGGACAGGATATCGGCGGCCTGAAGGGTTTGAATTAGTCACTGCGACCTGGATGTAACGGGAATAGCGCTTGAAACTCACCTGACGCATAAGCTTGGCCGACTCTACTTCAGCCCGGGCAGCGATAACCTTACTCTCACCAATACGCTTGGACTGCGCAGCCATAGAGAGTGAGTCTTGCAAGTCATTACTAAAAATGATATCCTTAATGAGCATCGACTCGACTGCGACACCCCATCCGGAGGCCACGTCCTCGATGATCTCCGATGTCGACTGGGCGATTTCTTCACGGCGCTCAATCACATCTTGCAGGACCCGCGCTCCGATCACATGGCGCAAGGTGGTTTGAGTGCGCTCTACGAGCGCTTGTCGGATGTTGGAAATGCCGAATGCAGCCTTGTGGGGCGAGACGATTTGGTAGTAGATAACGGAGCTCAGGTTCAAATTGACATTATCCTTGGTCATGCAGCTTTGGCGAGGCACTTCAACAATCTGGATCTTGACGTCCACAGCCGTGAGGTGCTCACTAAGAGGGTTCACCTTGACGAGACCCGGGTCGACAGCGCGCTCGAATCTAAGAGCGCGAAACATGAGTATATGCGGTTCAACGCAGGCATGGGAGTACAAGGGAGAGCGAAAGTCACATACCGTCCGAATCTTGTGATCAAGCCGACTTCACCTTGTGCAACCGGCTTGAAGGGGTTTGGGCAACAAAAGCAGCATGGTATGGCACCCAGACATCCGATAAACTCTCCCAGTCCGTGAACTACCCAGGGAGGTGCTTTGTTAGACCGGGATCTAGGAAGAACAAGGATCTCATTGCATCAGGTGAACTCACTGAATCCTGCGTACCAGCCATGCGCGTCCGGGTTGTCCTCGCTGTGCTGGATTTGCTGAGCGTACTTGGGCTGCAAGTCCTCTAGGCGCGCCGGCTGCACGTTGACCAAATTATTGCGCGCCGAAGGCGAGGGGCGGGGGTCCACCGGCTGAGCAGGCGCTTTTCCATTGATGTCGGACATGATTGGTATGTGTTTCAGATTGTATGAGTGACGATGGTTTATGCGCGACCGTTTGTATACAATAGTCGGAGAGATGAAGTGGTATGATATTTACCAGGCAAGGGGAAGATACCTCAAGATAAATGCAAGGTTAAATTGAGGAATGATGGATGAAGTCAAACATCAGGGCCGTGAAGGAGGGGAAGAGATGATTAAATAGTAGTCGAGCTGGTGTGTGAGTCGTCCGACCATGGGAGGGGAGGGGCGCTCGCAGCTGTCGGACATTTACTTTTCGTTTGGTCCCAAAGCTCAAAGCTGCCAACGGCACCTACCGCATGCAACTAGTCCATTCACTAGCCTGGAGTACTGCCGCACTAACTGTACTCTACCGTCATTCATCGATCCTTCCATGTCACTTGCCCGAAGATCAGATATTCTTTCTCCGCATGAGCCAAGGGGTATCACCTATCAAGTGGATCTACACATGTACATAGTATGTGTAGGACTAAGTTGGCTTCGCCCAGCTGTGGGGTCTGGCCCATTCCTACCAACTACTCCGGAGTAGGCTATTCGGGGCCGCCGCCTTGAGGCCCTTGATCCCTCAGGCTGCCTCTTGGCCAACTCAAATCTGACCTTGCTGTCGCTCTCATTGGAACAGGGTCCAAGGCTGAGCTCACAACTCATCATAAGAGCAGCAGCAGAGATTCACCGCCCTCGCCCCTATCTTCGGAACTCGGGAGGGAGGCTTAGAGCCCCTTGAGGCAGACTTCAAGAACCTTTGATACTCTTAGAGTTCCTGGGCTCCCCACATCAATATTCACCATAGGTCGATCAAAGCTCTCCTTTCACAGCAGACCTTCTTGGTTTATTGCCTAGCGTTCAGCCTAGAAACTAGTCCGCAAGAGAACCAATGCGTGCCAGTTCAAAAAATGGCCGTCTTATCCGGGCTCAAATCTCGGAGCCATTCACTAGCCAATACCGACCACCCCCGGTCGATCACCTATTACATCACTTGCGAAAAGCAAAAAGAGCTGGCCAACCATACGGATCCAATCCCTACATCAAAACTGGACACTCGACACATGGACGGGACGATCGGGATGCCCCTACTGCAACGTTGTTTGGTTCGACATTCCTCTGCATCGTTGCCCTGGTACCCTGGGATACTGTGCCTCGTTGAGCGGGGCACCCAGATCTACTGCCATCCTGTCCACGTGAAGGGACCAATACTTCCAGACGTTTTCTAGTCCCTCGACTGGTCATCATTAGGTCAGGTCAATGAGGTACGTATTCCCCGTCGCACCTGAGGCTCTGCGGTGCACAGCCCTATTAACTACTGAGTCTTTTGACCGTGGACCCGCCTTGGACACTAGTGTTGCCAACCTTGGCATACGTCTACTTTCCCCCGAGGAAAAGCGAAGGATTTAGCGCGAAATGCGACGGATGTTCGGCATTGGAAATTGTAAAATATACGCCCGGCGGGCTGAGCCCGTTGGACAAAGTATATACCGCAGCAAACAACCTGGGTCAACAACTTATCCTGTGATTTGTTGTGTCACCCGATACGACTTCCTATTGTCTTCTGTTAAGTATGCTGAGTCACTGACTGGTAGAAAGGAAGGCACGGTGCATGACCCCACTTTTATTTCCGCCAAGGGATCGGGCGCGACGGGGCTGTGCCATGATCCTTCATCCTTCCTTCGTGTGTCGTCGGGCCTAAGGTTGAACTAATAGTGCTGCCCTGTGCCACCAAGAAGTCAAGGCCGATTGCCTGATCTGGGGGTATGCTCAAATGCGACAGTGGGGGCTACAAGCAGGTCCTACATTACTTCGTGTGATGATAAACAACATGATGCAATTATCGTCATGCTATCGTGTGACACTCAAGGCGGTACAGGGACCGGAATGGATAGTAGCATCGGCAGAGAAGAAGTCAATGCGGCAATCCCACCACAATCGTTGGTGCTCAGTACAACCGCTGGCCTCAGGCAATGGTGCTTTGGCAGTGGGTCATACGCATATTTCCGCTGGATCGCATACTTGACCGCTGCTAATCTCAATTACTAGAACCAGAGGTTGGTCCCTACTTCATTGATGGTCGGGGTCTATTCCAATCCTCGATCGACATGCTCATGGTTTGCGTGACAAACAGAACGGTCGGCACACCTTCTACATCCTGTCAATTGAATGTTCCTCCTGGAAAGGGGTATGACCCTAGGCTGTGCTCTAGACTTTCAAGCATGAATGCAGAGATCGAGCTGGCATGAAGGCGATTTCCAGCCTAGACCAAACAATATGTCATTATCGGCTCGGGATGGCATTCCTCGTGTGCATGCAGACCGCGGGTCGGAAAACCTGCTTTATGGCTGAGCCGAAATGTTATGAATGCCTAGGTATGCCAAACATCCATTGCGGCGAAGATAATTACAAGGCTATTTTGTCGGACCTGTGGTGGGATTCAACATGGCAACACGCAGTAAACAGCACGTTAGCTGGAATTGTTATCACCAAGCTACGGACCACCACAGCGAGACGTCTTTTACAAGCGTTAGGGTTATGAATGTACAGTCAAAGCAGTTCTCAGCAACAAGCATCATTGGTCTAGTGGTAGAATTCATCGTTGCCATCGATGAGGCCCGTGTTCGATTCACGGATGATGCAAGCTGATTCTCTTTTTTGCTCTTCGATCCGCCTTGACCGGCCTCCAGTTGGTATTCTTTGGCTTCAGCCCCAGCTGATATACAGGTCAGAACTCATGGGTAATCCTATGTATTTGTCCTCTCTTTACATCTCCAGAGTCACTCTCGTATCGCCAAACCGACAAGAGCTCTATAGGCTAGAACTTCGACCGATTCTAATTGACAGCACTTTTCAATCCTACAACAAGCAATCTATGCCTCGTATCGACGAAATCCTGCACAGCATATGTCCAGTACTACTGATCAATAAGCTACCTTGAAACTAAGAAACGGAGCCTTCTGGTTACCACAGTACCAGCCCCAGCTTCAACATGCCAGAAATTCTCTACCAGGGCAGTTGGAGGGGTGTCGGCAAGTCGCTACCTAGGACAGGCTCGGCAGTCCCGATGTCCCTGGCCAGATCAGCTTGGTACTCTGAATATTCAAAAAAGCTACACAAACCTGGGGCCCCGCGGTGCCCAGTATTGTCCGGTCTTGCTGATGTCAAACGTGTCTGTAAATGAAGCGAGCGATTCTGCTGCCTCATCTGGGGTGACAGCTGCAAGGACAAGTGGTCAGTGTGTCTCTAAACGAGAAACAGGTGACACATGCAAACGATTCGACGACTTACCTCCGCCAGCATCCCAGTACTTGTCAAATCCCACACCCTTTGTCATCTCCGTGCGCATAAACCCAGGATGGACTATGCCGACAGCAATTCCTTTGTCTTTGAGGTCCAAACTCAGCAGCTTCCCGACCATATTAAGAGCTGCTTTGCTGGCATGGTGACCATAATTTCCGCCACCCTCCTTCTCATGACGCAGCGTAATGCTTCCACTCTCGCTACTGACCAGAATTATCTTGCTACCGGCCTCCAAGAGTCCGGCTTTGACCAAGTGATGGACTAGAAAGACAGGCCCAATAGCAGAGGTGGTGTACATCTTGACTTGTTTCTCCCAATCGGGATCATCAAATGTCTCGAACCCAAAATAGCCCGCGGAGATGATGACTGTTGAGATCTTCTCAGATGAGGACAGCTGGGAAACCAAACTTTGGCCGACATCAGGTTTGGACACGTCAATGTTCGGAATCCATGAGACGAGAGGCTCGTCTTTTGGCTTCGTAGAATCTCGGGTGGTTGCAAAAACCGTCTTCGTGGATTGTCTCCCTGCATATAGAGTCTTGAGGGATGACCCCAAGCCTCTGGTAGCACCGATGATGAGGATATTCTCAGACATAGTTCGTATCGGCAAGACTTGGTGACTCAGTACAAAGGAGGTTGGATTCTCAGATTAAGTGAGCTGTGCAGGGCAAGAATGATGCCCAGCGTGCCCCTCGTTGTGGAAGAAGTGAACAATAGCTGGTGCTGACCCCTGTTCCTAATGACGTAAGTCCGACTCCGGATTGTGACACAGCTTGCTTCTAAGTTGACATTACTTACCCCTCTCCAATCCTTTGATTACCTTATTATGCATGCATGTCTGCGTAAGTTGACATAAAATCACCCCTCCTTCTCACCTGTCATTAGACTATGCTGGCTAATGGTTAGTTAGCCGCCGCTTAAGCGGAATTCGACGCGATTGCAACGCTTGACTGGTCAGTGACTGGTCATCTCTTGCACTCAGTCGCCACGAGTAGTGAATCCAGCCCCCAATCAGCAATCCGTTTCAGACGACCGTATCTGCCTCCGTCTCCATTCTCTCTCCTTCTGAACATGATCTCGCCTCTATCTACCTCTACCCACACCAGATTCACCTCACCCAGCCTATACACCCCGTGTGGTCCGCTTCTATTCGTGGCCTGCTTCTAAATTAGCAACAATCCTCTTGCTCAGCCCTGCTTAGTCATCGCCCCTCTACCCCCCAAAAGGCGCCAGTGGAGAATCCCTTTTAAACGATCGACGAGAGAAATCAGGGCTCTCTATGGTGTCAAGCTGTCTATTCTCAAAGTGCTGAAGTCGGAGCTGGCCTCCTCATGTCGAATGGTACTTGACGATGAGTACATTCCACAATTTTATGCTGCAAGCCAAAAAAGCACGCGCTGCCATCAACAGAGGCAAGAGATCCGACGCCAAGAAGAGCAATTCCTCCAAACACGGTGCAGTGCCATCTTCCGTGTCGTTGTACGTTGGACCGCCCCTGCGGAAGATAGATGACCGACGCTCAAGCCTCGAGGCGTGCTCGTTACTGACGTGGGTTTTCCCAATGTTGACAGAGTGGACATAGTACCGACCTCGGCCCCCTGGGACCTCCTCCCCGTTGAAATCCAGATCAAGATATTCGCCCACTGCGGCGTCACCGATTTATTACCGCTGAAGCTGGTCTGCAAGTCATTCTATCAGCTACTGACCTCCCAAGAACAATGGATCACCCGGCAGTATCTGCGACAACGCCGCGGCGGAACGCTTCCCTCCCCTATCGACGACGAGAAAACCTATACTAGAAGTCCGGAGGATGATGTAGTGCTTCTGTCGGACCTCTTCCCTCCTGCGAAGAGTGCCAGGGGGGGCCATATCTACACCTTCAAGTACATCTTCAGTTTGCGCCGTCGGCAGAAGCAATGCTCAAAGTTGAGCTGCTACCTTGCGGATCGTGTCATGGATCGGTTCGTGCACAGTGAGCCAGGCTTTATGAAGTCGGTTTTCTCCTCCAAGGCCGAGCGGTCTGCTTTTGTGCAGCAGACGACCGCGCGTTTGTGGTTCTACCTCACTCCCCTGATGTGAGTATCACCCTGCGACTTGTCTCCGATGGAGTTCCTCTGACATATGACTCCTTGCCCCAGGTACTATGCTCTCTACTTTTTGGAAACCTATGCTCTCGCTAGACGAGAGCAAACCAACATCCTCCTCCGGGAATTTGAGGCCGGACGTCTTCCGGTTCCCATCCCCCCTCACATTCGTAAAGTCATGTACCGGGAGCTGCAAGTAAAGATAATCAAGGCACCCCCTTTCACCGATACGGCAACTCTTATAGCCACACACCACTGCATGCAACTCCTAGTCTCCTACCTGCGGTATACGGTACCACCGGATGAGCCTACGGTGTCGGATGACAGTTGGATCGGGTCACTGCTCACCGTATCCCCGTTCTCGCGGATCGTGGAGTATTTCTCTGCGGAGATTGGGGACGGCGGGAGTCAGCGAATGCAGCGAAAGGAGTTTATGCACAATTTCCACAACGATATCACGTTGAACGAGAAGGACGACATTCAGTCCTTGGTGTTCCAGATCTCGCCAAACGTTCACCTCCACGGATCGGTAGAAGACGTCTGGTTCGATGTGGTAGGGGAAGAGCTGGCTTCGAGGCATGCGGCGCCCCATGATGTCGATCGCGTCATGGTCTGGCCCGGGCTGCCGGTCTTGTTGTCCTGTCGCGAGTGCCGCGTGAGAGAGGGCTGGCATGCGTGAATCATTCCGTTTTGGGTTTAGCAAGCGCTGCGTTATCCTGCATATTCTCTGGTTTTTTGAGGCAAGGCGTTCCAGGTTCCAGCGGGAAGGGGGTTTTCGGTGTCTATGATGGCGGGAGACGCAGCGGGTGTCAACTTTATGACTGCAACGCCGCAGCGTCAATTTGAATTTCTAGCATATTTCGGAATCGGCACAAGACTCCAAATCAGACTACGTATTGACTGTGAATTGTTGTTAAAGGTTTAGAAAGTTAGAATTCTTCCGAGGTAAATCTTGCGCAAGGCGGGGTTAGCGGCAGCTCTTCCCTGCCAAGAGATGTTTTTCTTCCGCGGGCGAACTTACGGAGTAACTACTCAGTAACTTACATCTACCAAGTCCGGCGCGACATGTGAAACTCTCCTCCGCCGCTCTCTCCCTATCTTCCTCCCTCTCTTTCCACCATTACAATCACAAAACATAGTAACCACCATAATCCCCAAGCAACAATGGCCCACCTGAGCCTCCTCAACACAACCTGGACTTTACACCGACTCTCCCCGCTGCACCATGGCAAAGAATTCCCCTCCCTCCTCGACAACCACCACGCCCTGAAGACCTACGCAGCCCGCCTCCGCGACCACCTCACCGGCACCTCCTCCGTCTCCGGCGCAACCTTCCAAACAGTCGGCGCTTCCGACGAAGCAGACCCCCGGTCGAAAACCGGCGCCCTACTCTCCTGCACCTGGGAACCCATCCCCACGCTCTCCCTGTCCGGCCACACAACCACCACAACCACCAGGGCGATAACCACCAGGGCGACAAACACCACGAACCCCTCGCCCTCTCCCTCCCCCTCGCCCTCCACAAACAACAACACCAACGACCCAACCCCCTCCCGCCCCCGCGGCCGCCCGCGTCGCCCAGCAACCACCCCCGGCACCCCCGGCGCCGGCATCCTAATCACCCTGACCTACGAAACCCAAACCTACCGCGCCGCCCTCCTCACGCCCTCCGCCGTATCCTCCACCTCTACCACCTCCACAACAACCAGCGCACCCTCCCCATCAAGCTCCCACGCCCGCTCCCACGCCTCGCACCGGACCCTCCGCTCGCACGCCCACACTCAAACAACCCATCTCCCCCTCCTCCTCACCAAACTCCCCGCCCCGCTCCGCCACACCTTCCTGGCCTTTCTATCTGCGACGTTCGACGCGTACGCCGCGGGCTTGACCCTCCCGTCTGGGTTCCTGGGTGGGTCGTTGGAGGGGTATCTCTCCTGCGTTCGCGAGGAGGCTCGCAAAGTTGAGGGTGGGACTGCGGTTGAGGGTGGCGGTGAAGAGGTGGTCGGGGCAGTGGTTCGGGATGTGCATATCGTGCTGGGGTTTCAGGGGCCGGTGGCGCCGGGGTTGCGCGGGTTGGATGTTTGTTTGCCACGGGGGGTGGTTGGGGGTTTAGTTGGGGGGGTTTCTGAGGACGATCATTCCGGGGGTGGGGATGTGTTGGGGAAGATCGCGGGGTATCTGGATGCGCATCTGGCGATGAGGGTGGATCTGAAAGAGGGGAAGGGGCTTGGGGGCGGGGATGTGGTGAGGGTGACGAGGGTTAGTTGTGGGGGGTTTATGTTGGGCGCGGATGGGAAGATGAAGTTGGTTGGGGTTGCCGGTGCTGGTGCCGGTGCCGGTGCCGGGCAGGTGGGTGCTGAGGATGGTGAGGAGGAGGACGACGAGGAACACGATGATGGGGGACTTCCTTCTCCTCCTCCTCCTCCTCCTCCTGCTGCTGGCGCCACTGTGTTGAGTCTTAAGGATCGGGTTGCCTTACGCGCCGCTGAGATGCTGCTTCTAGACGTGGTGCGGCGAGCAGCCGGGGTGGAGGGTGAGAGCCATGGGTCTCTTGAAGGCTGAATGCAGCATGCCACCCTTACGCAGGAAAAACAAAGGTAAGCTCTAATCAAATTACCAAGGGTTGGAGCTCTAGGGCTTCCATCGCTATCAGCAAATCTAACGGGGGCTATTACTAGCAAAAAATGTCAAGCGATATATCGGAAACACGTGTCACGTCTATACATGGCATTGATGCCGAAGGGGAGAACCAAATGCGAACAGCCCTCCCAGAGGCGAACTTGGCTCGCCTTGCGACGAGGAGCTCAAGGCTCCAAGGGTCCACCCTCTGCTTCGGCAAGTCTCAATGCTTCATCAACACTGTGCACAAAATATTGCATGCCGCCGCAGCGGTCGACAATGCCGCTCCTTTCGAACATGCGGAAGACATTGCGATTGGGAAGACGGCAGAAGAACACTCTCACTCCGAGGTTGAGATACTCATTCACGATCTCGGAGAGAACCTGTGTCCCGGAGCCATCGATGCTGGTGACCCCATGCACGTCGAAGATGATGTTCTTGTTATGCTCGGGGGGTCGCGAGCGCGGGAGGGAAGGGTGCGCTTGGTTGGTGCCGTAAAATTCGAGCCTGCGCAGACGATTCTTCAAGTCGCCGGTGTTGGCGAACGTCAGGGGCTCCGGGATTTTGACGATGAGCGCACCCTCAATGAGCTCCACGTTTTCCCCGTGGAGTTCAGCGTTGTCGAATCGATCATTTGTACCAGCGACCTTACCGAGAATCTGGATTCGAGGCTGGGTGGAGTGGCGAATCAGGATTAGAATAGACAATCCGATTCCCAGCGCAATGCCCAGTTCTAAGGAGTAAAAGATTGTCGAGCCGAAGATAAGAATCATCAATGTGAGCTCTGTCCAACCACGCAAGCGAATGAAGAAAGCTACATCATGAGGACACTCCTCTATTAGACTGTATGCCACCACTGAAATTGTAGAGGAAAGCACGGCTTTCTGGAATATGCCGTCAGTTTATAATCGAATGGTATAAGTATAGGGACCAACTCACCGGTAAATAGTACAGATAAGGCAGGATCACCTTGATACAGACGGCGGTGATGATGCTCAAGAAGATACTGCTCATCGGGGATCGCGCCCCTGTGGAAGCATTCAACTTGCTTCTCCCGTAACCACCGAATGCAGGAAGCGCCATGAAACAGCCACCAACAACATTGGCAACGCCCAGCGCCACCAT